AGTTATTAGGAAGACCTGAGTTCCAAACCAGTATCAAACATTTACTAGTCCTGGGCAAGTTATTTAACTTCTGTCTGCCTCAGTTTCCTCAACTGTAAAATGAAGATAATACCACCTGCCTCCCAGGGCTGTTGTGAGAATCAAATGAGAAATTTGTAAAATACTTAACACAGTGCTTAGCACATAGTAGGTACTTAATAAATGCTTGTTTCCTTCCTTCCTCTGAGGCCCCTTCTACCTCTGGATCTATTATTCTAAGTTTCCTGTTTGCAAGGTATAGCTGCCTCTGAGGGGACCCCTCTCCAACATCTCCCCAGAATGGGTCTAATAAAGTACTGATGTATATTTCCTGTCCATTGATTGCTGAACTAGTCAGGATGGACTGAATATACTCAGTGCTGAAAGGAGTCAAGCACCACCCGGAGACACAGTTAAGAGACTGTAAGTGCAAAGCATAAAGGGGCTGACTGAATGTGGTAAGACAGGGAACAATTTAGTTCTTGCACGATGGTAAATGAGCCTTCTAAGTCTTTTAAGTCCATCCTGATTCTGGAGCCTATATATTTAACTAGAAATAGCCACCCTCCTGTGCTGACAGATATGTACTCGTGTGTGCAAATAAGCATATGGTAGCGGTGCCGTAGTATTGCTCGGCAATTTCAGAACTGGAAGGCTCATCTTGCGTAACCCGTACCCCAATGAGACTCCCCTCTCAACATCTCAGACAAGTAGTTATCCATTCCCTGCTTGAAGACCTCACATAAGAGGGAGCCCACAACTTCCAAAGGAATCCCATTCCACTTAACCCCCTCCTCTTTAGGTTATATGCCAGCTGACCCAGAGTTACGGCAAAGTAAGAAGGCTGACCGAGATGATGCCTAGAGTCCCTCTGAGTTCTAAATCTTATGGTCCTATGAGCCCTGGAAAGAGAAAGCAGAAAAAAAGACAATGAATTTGATTATCTCCAGAACCCCCTTTGCACCCTCACCCTCAAACAGACCACACACATAGCCAGCATTTGCTATAGTGCACAGGCATTAGGAGATCACAGGGAAGAATGACTGGGCAAGGAGCCAGCAGGCAGACATTAGTGTGGTCAGCTGCATCTGATCCAACAGCACTGTGGATTTGGGTAACAAACCCAGGCAGGCAGAGCCACTGGAGATGCCAACTGAATAGCAGAGATTACTCAGGAGCACATGCCAGGAGTTTTCTGCTTGTGTCTGTAACTTTGTCAAGAGCTAGATAATTCCAGGTCAAAAAGTGTGGCTAGATAATTCCAAAAGGCATGATGACATCTCTCAATCCATCATGTCTACATGGACTGAGGGAATCATCCTGGGCAGGACTGAAAGACCAGGATGTCCAATATTCCTACTCAGCTGGAACTGTTTGGCCGTGTCTGTTTGTCTGTTTGGCCATGAACGCCCAGCAGGGTTACCAGGAATCGACTAGCTGATCAGGTTTGTGGCCATCAGATTCATAACTAGCCAAAAGCTACTCAAAATCTCAGTTAGGTGAGGGGAGGGAGTCAGTGGTGGAGGCAGAGTGCTGAGAATAGTTTTATTGTAGGTATAATTCAACTGAATGATGACAGGGATGATTCTCACTCAGAGTATTGGCCTTTCACCCTATGGGTGCTTTGGGAATTGGCAGGTTGTGATGTGCAACTTAGGGGGCAGCAACAGGAAGCGGTTGTACCGCCTCCTCTGGAGGACATGAGGTGATGGGGCTGCTACTAGTACCAGTACTGCTACTACCAGTTCATGGGATAGTAACTTTAGAACTATGAATGAGATGAGAATAAGATAATTTGCAAAGTGCTTCACACAGTGCCTGCCACATAGCTGGCACTTAGTAAATACCTATTCCCTTCCTACCCCACCTTCCTCGGTTCAACCTACTAATTTTATAGACCAAGGACCTGAAGCCCGGACGGACTGAGTGACTTGTCTAAGGTTGCACAGGCAGCGACCAAGATTCAGACCCAGATCTCCTGACTCCAAAGTCAGAGTGCTTTTCCCTGCAGCACGCTGCCTCTCCCGGACAGCATGCCTCGTGCTCTGTCAAATCCCTGTGTGCCCTGTTATCATTGCAGTTTTGGTCACCATCTACATGTGGAACTAGTATTTTCTATTCATCGATGTATAATTGTATAAGGTTCAGAGAAGAGACCTGTTGCAGCCCATCACTGATGAGCATGCCCAGGGTTCAGAACATACTGGCACATATGACAAGAGAGAGGGACAGGTGATTTGAAGGAGAGGATGCTGGGATAGGGAGGGCGGGCAATGGTGGCGGGGCTTGAGTCTCTCCTGCCTTTTACCTTTGAAGGGAGACTGGTAGCAGTGGATACAGTGCTGGCCCTGGAGTCAGGAAGACCTGAGTTCAAATCTGGCCTCAGACAATTACTTGGCTGTGTGACCCCGGGCAAGTCACGTAACCCTGTTTGCCTCAGTTTCCTCATTTGTCAAATGAGTTGGAGAAGGAAATGGCCAACCAGTATCTTTGCCAAGAAAACCCCAAATGGGCTCACAAAGAATTGGACATGATTGAAAACAACTGAACAACAACATAAAGACACGGAGATAGAGCTCAGTGGCCACATCAGATCTCAAAGCAGGAAAAGAGTCAATGTAGGAGCCAGGGAAAGGTGAGATCAACAAGATCCCTGGTGCCCTGAGGGTCTGGCACCCTGGAGGGATCACACCTGTTACTGAGGGAATTGCTCTTTGCTCAGGTCCCAGCTGGAGGACCAGGACCTGAAATCCTGGAATGTTTCTGTTTTTGTTTTTGTTTCAGCTCAAGAGCTTGCTTTTATTTTTGCAAATTGAAGTCAACATTTAATTTGGTCATCTATTGACCATAAACTGTTTGTAAAATGTTTAAATCCTTAAGTTGTACATTAATGTCCTAGATACCGCCCTCCAAGTCTGAAGAAAATTATTATTGAGTTCCACAGTCAGCAGTCACACTGACAACACTTTCTCTAAAGTTTTAGAATTAATAAAGACTAGTATCAAACTGACTTGAAACCTGGTTGTGTTCCTGGCTCAGGAAAACCTGTTGTAAGTAATTTAAATCCTTAGTGAAAAACAAAAAACAAAACCTAAAAATAGATGCCTTTTTAGATAAAATGAATTAACTTCCCACATAAAGATAAAATGAACTTTTATAAATTTTGTCCAGATTATGGCAGGTTTTCTCAACCGTTGTTTTACTTCCAGAATACCTCATTACATTATTACTTGCAAATAATTTACATACAGATTTTTTAAAAAGTTTTTCCAGCATTCAAAATGGTTAAGGAAATCACATAACATAACATTAAAAATTGTGAAAGTACACTGTACGTATTGCACCTTTCTGCAAAGCTGGGCAACTATTTCCCGTGGCAAGAAACTACTGAATAAAGTATGTCTTACATTTATAGATACTTAATTTTTTCCCTGAAAATGTCAATGAAACTAGCAAAATCAGGATTTAATGGATTTCATTCTTTAAGAATTGTTTTTAATAATTTAAGAAGAGAATTCTCAGGTATTGAATAGTTGATGCACAACCTTCTTTCAAAGACTAAAAAGATTCTTAAATTATGTACCATGTTTTCTGGTTACTTTAAGCTTTCCCTCCCTTAATCCCAAATTTAATAACTAATTTTAATCCAAAGGCAAACAAGGATACCCTCTTTAAATAGCTATTCAATTTGAAATATCTATTTGTAGCTACCTGTTTGTACTTTAACTTACAGAAATGTCTGCATTCAAAAGCGTCTTAATTTTTTCTAGAGCCAAAGTGAAGAAAAAACTTAAAAGAAAGCTACTTAAACTATTTTGCAAAAATAGAGTTCCCAAAATGCTTGACAGAAACAAGCTATTTCTTCTCATTTGTGTTCCACTGAAGACATTATTGAAACCTGTTCACTTCTTCAGCACAGCAAAAACACATCATCTTATTCCAAACAGTCCAATCTGAAGGTCCTCGGAATGTTTTAAGCCTGGCTGTAGCTAGAATTCTGACTTCCATTTGGACCCTGCTCTCCTTGACTGTTTGGAGGTGTTTTTGGTTTAGGCATCTTACTAATCCACCTTCAGTGGATATAGCCCTGGGCCTGGAGTCTGAAAGACCCGAGTTCAAATATGACTTCACATACTTCCTAGCTGTGTGGCTCTGGGCAAGTCACTTAACCTCTGTTTCTCATCTGTAAAATGGGGATAATAATGGCCACCAGCCCCAGGGGCTGCGAGGCTCCACGCAGACATGTGAACGAGTGGCACTGTTAATGTCACAGGAAGGAGAAGGGGTTGCGCACGTCACACGGTGATCTACGGCTCGGACACGCCCCTGGCAGCATCCCTAGGGCACGGCGGGGGGCCGCTAACTGGCCCGTCTCCCCGCCCCTCCCGCGTGACCCGCCTGCCGTCCCGGGCCGCGTGGGCATCCCGCGCGTGGACTCCAAGCTCCGTGGAGGGAGGAGTCTCGTCGCGCTCTGGATCAGCAGTGCACGCCGTAGGAGCTCAATCAATGCCAGTGGTGGGGCGCTAAAGCAGCCCCGGGAGAGAGGGTCGGCAAGGTCAGAGGTCAGAGCCCAGGACAGCTCGGCCCGCCCCGCCCCTTACGCCGATGACCCGCCCCCCCGGGCCTCAGTTTTCCCATTTGCGACAGGAGAGGGCTGCACCTGCTGACCAGCTGGGATGCTAGGCCTCTCACGGCCCTTGCAGGGGCCCCATTTAGAGCTGAGGAGACGCAGGCTCCGAGGGAGGCGGCCAGGCCGGCCCGGGAACGAGGGGATTCCAGGCTGGCCTTCCTCCCTCCGGGTCCAGCCGAACAACGACGGACGGCAGCCGCGAGGGGGCGCGAGCGGGCGGTGGCCCGGACGCTGACGTGGCGTGCGTGATGACGCAGCGCGCGATGGCTTGTGGGGCGCGCCGGCAGGATGCGGAAGCGCCGCTCCAGGCAGCCAGCCTGATTGAGCAGCGCCGGGCGCCGCCGCCGCCGCCATGGCTGTGTGGAGCGGGCCGGCGTGCGCGGGCTTCCTGGCGCTGGCCGTCGGCTGCGTGCTGCTGCTGCAGCCCGAGCTGCCCGGCTTGGCGCTGCGTGCGCTCTGGGGCCCCGTGCTCTGGGTGTCGTCGCCTGGGGGGACCTCCGCCGAGGGCCGGCTGGCGGCGGCCTGGGAGGCGCTCATCGTGCGCCCCGCGCGGCCGTGGAGCCGCGTGGCCGTGGGGTGAGTGCGGCGGGCCGAGCCGGGGCGGGGCGGGGCCCCCTCACTTGTGACCGGCGGAGGAGGGGCGGGGGGGCCTGAAGATTCCCGCCGGCCGGAAGCGCCCTTCCCCCCGCCTCATCCCCCCCCCGACCCCCCGCGGGGAGTGTCACTCAGTCTGGTCCCTCTGTGTGTGGGGGGAGAGATTGGGGGCGGGGCCTTGGAGAGCTGATTGTGTGTGATGGGAGTGTGTGTTGTAGGGGGGTAAGTCTGTGAATGGTAACTGAGAGGCTGAGTGTGTACGTGTGGTGGGGGGGTATGGCTTCCTGGTGAGCGTGCTCCTTAGAGAATGTGAAGGCTTTGGCCATTTGGGGGACCACACATCAGAGACAGGGCACTGTGGGTATCCGGAGCTGTGAGACCCATCTTCCTTCTGCCAGGCACCTTTTCTAGATACAGCTGTAGATGGGCACCAGTCCTATGCCAGCTGTGCACTTTGGTTTGGGGGATTACCTGTGATCCGGTGCTTTTGGGGAAGGATAAACTTCATTTTAGAGGAAGATAAAAGCAAATTTATTTCCCTTTGCCCAAAAAGGAGAAAAACAAAACACTTAGAAATGTAAAAAATCAACCTCAAGGATGGGGGGGAGCCAAATTAGATGAGAGTTTGGAAAAAGATCTGGGAGTTATGACAGACTTAAAATGAGTCAGCAGTACTCAGACTTCCTTAACAGAGGCATAACTTTCACAAATAAGAAAGTGATAGTCCCTCAAGAGTCTGCCCTGGTCAAAATTAAAAGACATTGATAAGCTGGAGTGAGTCCACAGGAGAACACCAGGGCTTGTAAAGTGTCTAGAATCCATGTCATGTAGGGATCACTTGAAAGAACTGGACATGTGTAGTCTGGGAAACAAAGACACAGAGACCACATAGTTGCCTTCAGATGTTTGGAGGGGACCCAGGTAGAGCCAGGAATTAACATTTTGATAGTGGATGGAAATTACAAGGAGGCAAAATTTAGTCTCAAGACTGTCTGTGGAAAAAAATCCTGCCAGTTAGAGCTGTCCAAAAGTGGAATGGCTTTTTCCTCATTAGAGGCTTTCAAGAAAGTGGGTAATGTTATAGTGTATGTGGGTACATGGGATGTTGAGGGAGGACTGGCATCTCTGGGGTGAGGGCTGTTGAGCCTGGCCATACACCTTTAGTGTCACCTGCACCCAACTTTTACCTGTGGCTCCAAGAAGCATGGGCTGTGGCCATACCCCAGTAAACTGACAAGTTAAACCAGGTTGTGGGTAATTGATGGGCCACAAACCTGCTGTTGATTTAGGGGGGTGTCTACCCCAAGCATGTGAAGACTTACATGGTGGAATGGGCAAATGAGAATAATTTGTTCCAGTGCCTGAAGGCTGCTGAACTTGGTCATTCATCGAAGACACCAGGGTCAACCACTGCATCCTGGTACCAATCATCCTGACTTTTGTCTTGCCACTGACCTGTTATTCTGGAAAAGAGAGAGGCTGACAGCTTTGTGCAACTCTGCCTCACTTAAATCCAATTCGCCCACAAGTCAAGACATCACTCTGTGATGTCACTAGTCCTCTTCAAAAACAAACAAACAACAGTGTTGTAGTAAGGAAGTAGTAGGGATTTCTTTTGGGTACTAGTTGGAGTACTGAGTCACTGACGTTTCTTCCAACTTGGAAGTTATGTCTCTGATTCTATAAAATCCTGTTAAAATGTTACTACTTGCCTCCCACACTACTGTGACAAGGAAAGCCTTTTGTAATTTGCATTTCACTTGCAGGCACAATTTCCCATCCTTCAGTTATACCACTGTCTGTGTTATACAGTACCTTAGTGTTTAGAAATCTTTTATATATACTTGTGACAGTTTAACTGTCATGAATGAAGTGGGATAGGGTCATAGCTTTTGTATTTACTGTAAATCTGCTTCTAGACACCTAAATAAACTGCCTTCTAGACAGGATTACTGAGCTGGCCTCAGGTGTTATAAATTAGCTTCCATGCTATTTATCATTCAAAAGTGTCATTGGAAATAGTTATTGGTCAGGTCTTGCTTTACTGACAAAATAAAAGCTCTTGAGACTCTGTCCTTTGCTTCTGGCCTGCTTTATCTTAACATCATCCCACTCCCATCCTTTTAGTGGAGATCTGGCTTTAAGTCTTAAGCTCTCTGCACCTCACTTTCTTTGTCTGTAAAATGGAGATAATATTCTACTACTTTGTTCACAGAGTTGTAAGAAAAGTGCATTGTATTTTTTGGAGGGGTAGGGTGGAGAGAGGTGTCTGAATCTGTTACCTGCTATGCTTCCCTCTGTGATCTGCAGTTAACTGTAATTTAATTTCAGAATTGTCTGGGAGCTCTGAGAGGTTAAGTGACTTTTCCTCAACACAGCTAGGATGCCTGGAAGAACATGAATCCAGGTCTTGCTGACTTTCAGACAGGACTTCTCTCAGCCACCCCAAACTGTTCCTCAGGAAGCTTGTAGGAGACCTCATTAGCATAGACTTGTTTGACTGATTGCCACTGATTCCTGGGTCAGCGTGGAAATTGCCATTATGTGTAGGTTCTTGTTATTCTTGGTACTTTGAGAAAGAATTAAATGACAGAAGAGGCAGAGGGCTGCACATTTTGAAGAGCTCTAGATTTGGAATCGGGGGTGCAGGTTCTGAGCCAAAAATCTGACACTGTCTTTGTGACCTTGGGCAAGTTCCTCACCTCCCGAATCTGTTTTCTCCTCTGTAAAATGAGGAAGTTAGATCAGGTGACCTGTGAGGTCTCTTGTAGCTCTGTGATCTGTTGAAAGGGAGCTTTTCTCCTCAACTTTTTCTAGAGCAGTTTTCCCTATTCTGTCCTACCCTGTGTGGATAAATGTTACATACAACTCCCATTCCTGCATTAAATTGTAAGCCTCTTGAGGGTGGGGACTCTAGTGTTTTCATCTTTACATCCTTAGTGTTTGCCTTAATTGTTGGATTGTATATGAGAAACCAATTTCCTGTGGTGTTATTAACCTGTTAGGTTTTGTCAGGTATTGCGAAAATATTGAAAAATATTTCAAAAGAGCTTTTTAAAAAAAATTTGGAGGGTGGGTTGGGCCTGTCCTGCTTTGAAGAAGCAGCTGTAAGTGTAGTGGGGAGAGCTGGCCTTGGTGTCAGGAAGACCTTGGTTCAGGTCCTCCTTCTGACATATACTGGCTATGTGTAGCTGAGCTAGAGTGAAGAAGCAGGTGGTGGTCACTGAGTAGATTGAGAAACTTGGAATTTTGGGTATTCGAAAGAGGATTTAATATAGATATTGAAGTCCCGTAATATGAGAGCAGTGTAAAGGATTTGTATGAAGAAAGCCATACTGTTTTATATCCCACATCATATACCATAAGCCTTGCCATCAGATATGCTGAGAATACAGAAGATAATTAATCAAAATGGTGGGTTTGGGGAGGGGCAATGTGGTATATTGGAAAGAGTCCTGGACTTAAGTTAGAAGATTGAGTTTTGATTGCAGCTCTCACTTAATAATTATGTGACCTTATATAAATTGCTCAACTCAGTTTTTTCATCTGTAAAAAGTCATGTTGAGTTTGGGATGTCCATCAGATATTTCATGGAGAAATGTCTATCTGGCATTTAGTGATATGGTGGTATTGGAGTTCAGTGAGACTTAGGTAAAGAGATTTGACAAGAGATGATAATTTAACCAAAGGAAAGAGTGAGAGAATAGAGTCTGTGTCAATCTTAGGGGAGCCCCTCACTTAGTGGCTGGGTGGAATTGTGACTGTCTCTAGCAAGGGAGACTGAGAAAGGAGTCAGATGCAAGAAGCAAGACAGTAATATTTTACTGAAGCCAGGCAGTAAGCAACTCTTTTTAAGCTCTTACTGTGTGCCAAACACTATGTTAAGCACTGGTGATACATAGAAAGTGGGGGGTACAGGATCCCTTTCTTCAAGGAGCTTACATTCCAGGTGGGTAATGGCATGTAAATAAATAGGTATGCAAAGTAGGTAAAGGTAATCCAAAAGGGGAAGGCACTAGTAACTGGAGGGACACTGAATGACTCTTGTGGAAGGTTGAGTATGAATTGAATCTTGAAGGAAGCCAGGGAAATTAAAGGATAGGGGTGAGGGGGTCAGCCAGTGCAAAGACTCAATAAGCAAGGGTAGCTGGATCATATGGAGGGGAAATCAGGTATGAGAAAGTTGGAAAGATAGGAAGGGAATGGAAAGCTTTCACTGCCAAACAGAACCTTCTATTGAATCCTGGAGCTTCTTGAGCAGGAGAGTGACAGGTTCAGACTTAGTCTTTAGGAAATCCCATTGTTATCCGAGTAGAGGCTAGGTTGGCATGAGGAGAGATGTGGAGCCGGGGAGACCAACCAGAAGGCTCTTTCAGTAGTCCGGCAAAAGATGATGAGGGCCTGAGCTGGAGTTGTGTAACTATGCCCTTCAGACAGTAAGTTCCTTGAGAGCAAAGACTGTCTTCCTTCCAGTGGTTAGCGCAGTGCCTGGCACATAATAGGCACTTAATATTTATTGAATTGAATTAAAATGAGTTGTAAAAAAGAGATCTCTATGAGAGATACTGTAAAACTACAGGATTTAGCAACAAATTGTCTATTTGATGTGAGTGAGTGTTTTAATTTGTCAGCAAACCCTCATTGAGGACTTAAGGATGTATGATGCTCTGTCCTCGGCACAAATAAATAGATTACACATAGATGTGGTGATCCCTGCTCTGCAGTGGTCTTTTGGAAAGCAGTCTTTATTGCACTCGGCTCAGTATTAGCTGCACGGGAGAATTGAGTGTTAGAAGCCATGATCTTTCCCCCAAGGAGTCTGTAGTCAGGAGACTAGGTTAAAGTAAGTGGCGTATCACAGTGTCTCTTCATTGTCTCCCTGGAGACACGGAGTATACTGCCTTGTTCGTGATGTTTGTTGTAATTTTCTGAATTGAATAGAGTATTATTATGCATTCTGGTTATTTACATGTCCCTGTACTAAGCTCTGTCAGCCCAAAGACACTGCCTTATATAAACTTTGTCTTGCCTATTGCCTATACACAGTCCCTTAACTTTATATTAAAATGAAAGTGAAGCATGGGTTACACATTAAAGGGGATAGATAGTTAAATTGTAATAGACAAAGATGTTGGAGGGGATGAAGAGGTGGGCACGGGAATTACTGTGATGTGCTTGTGGGACAGTAAGGAGACCAGCATGGTAGAATGAGAGATTGCATAGTGAGGAGTAGTCAGAAAAAAGATTAGATGAGGAAACTTTTAAAAATGTATTTATTTTCGGGGCAAGGAAGAGCTATCCAGTTAGTCTCCCAAAAAAGCAACTTTTTTTTTTTTAAGTAGGGAGGAACATAGATACCTATATAGCTACACTATCTTTTTAACAAATCCTTCAGCCCTTTTTTATTAGTGAGCTTACACTTTCTTAGTGTCTCAAGCTATAAAACTTGATTAAAGCCTGTGAAATGTGGTTATACTTATTGCTAAGTTGTCTTAGTTGAGAGATTTAGCCTCCTCGGTGCTTCCTAGCCATTTTTAGATTCCTGTTGGGCAGGTGCACTGTAACTCCATTACAGAAGATGTAGTACCAATCCTGGGGTGGAGGGAGGTGAGGGACGCTTTGGCAGATGTTATAGTTAAATCTTTATTCTTGAAAAGGGAGCAGAAGGTCTGTAGAAACTGAAATTGGACAGACTGTGCAACCTGGAGTTTGTGGGTTTCTGACCATAGTAAGTTTATAAGGATCTTGAATGTTTGGCTTTTGGTGTTCAGAAGAATTCAACACTTCTGCTTCAGCTGTTGGCGTAATGGAAAGAGAACAGAATCTGAAGTCAGAGTGCCTGGGCTTGAATCGTGGATCAGCTATTTGTGTGACCGGGACAAGTTATTTACCCTTCTCTGGGCTTCTTCTTCCACACCTGGAAAATGAAGGGATGGTACCAGCAGATGTTTCTATAGTCTGTCCCAGCTTTAGATCTCTGACCTTGTTGTCCTTATATTGCCAGTAGTGGGCTAGCACATTGCGTTGCATGTAGTAGTATGGAATGAATTTCTCAGAAATGTGTGAAGTGTTAGTTCTTTTATGCTGAGCACCTACTTTAGTGTTCCTCGTGATTATTACAAAAACTCGTCCCAAACTGAGGGGATTTGGATGAATGGAAAAGTGCTTAATATGTGCCAAGTGCCAGATATTCAACTACAAAAGCAAGAACAATCCCTGTCGTCATGGAGCTTCCATTCTAATGAGGGAGACAGGACACCAAGGGGTGTATTGGCCAGGGAGGGGGCTCTTTAGGAAAGTTATTGTGATGGTGCATGGGACCTTTGGGTAGGTGATTGATGCATCCCATCCACTGGTTTCAGAATTGGAAGAAGAGGGAGATTGTAGAGAGCAGAAAGGGTCCCCAGGGAAAAGGGGTCTTCTCCACCCAAAAAGGAGATGGCAGGAGAGTTGAGAGTGAGGTGCAACATGGTGCTTTTCTAAAAAGCGGTCTAGGAGAGGCAGTCACCAGATGTGGCTGGGGGGAGGGTAAAGCTGTAAGTTTTCCAGGGTAGCAAGGAGATTTGTGCATTTCGATACATAGAGTAAATGCTGAGAGAAAGTAATATCTTCCCGGTTACAATTAGTAGGTGGCTATATATGTACTGTAAGTAAAGTCTAAGGGTCCAGTCCTTCTCAAGTCTTCTAAATATAAGAAAGAGCCTTTAAAAATGCTTCCCTTTTGTAATACTTTCAAATATTACGTATTACAGTTCTTTTTGCATCATCTTTTTCTTCTTTTTCTAGAGTCAATGCCTGTGTGGATGTAGTCCTCTCAGGAGTGAAACTCTTACAAGCACTTGGCCTCAGTCCTGGCAATGGGGAAGATCATAGTGTCTTACATTCAAGGGAAGATCTGAAAGAAGCCTTCATTCATTTCATGGGCAAGGGAGCAGCTGCTGAGCGCTTCTTCAGTGATGAGCAGGCTTTTCACAATATCTCCCAAGTCGCATCCGCCCTCCCAGGAGCCCAGGTCTGTTCTTTTGAGTTGTTTGGGTGAATGGTCACCGCCTTATGTCTCTTGATCTCAGGCCTTATTTGTAATACTTGATACCCTTATAAGGAATCCAGTTCCAAGATGTGTGCCTGTAACTCCTATAAATGCCATTGCTCTCTTTTCATTGGCTTTCTTGATTCATCTTCTTAATAGGTTACGAGGTAGGTAATTTATGTTTTAAAGACATGTATTGATGGACTTCTGGCTCATCTATTAAATTCTCCCACATACACATGATACCAAAACTTGAGTTCTAACCCCTTCTAACCTTATTTTATTGTAACTGACAGCAGCTCATAGAAGTCTCTTTGTAAATAAGAGTGACTCCGTGGAGCCTTCTCCTTCAGGAATAAGACCGCTTTTAAAGTATATGCTCTACAACTTGTGACTATTTGAGTTGTGTGTCCCTCCTGGAAAGTAGAAGGAGAGGAACCAGGGATGAGTTAGGACAGGAGTTGCTTTGTTATGGTCGTGAAAACTAGGCATTTAGGGATAGAATCATGCCCTGTGGCACTAGGCTGATTCAGCTGCATTCAAATCCTACCTCAGCCACTCCTGGTCGTGTGAACATACGTGACTCACATCAACTCCTTTGGCTTCAGTTTCCTCGTGAAAAATGAAAGAGGGGGCAGCTAGGTGGCACAATGGATAGAGCACTGGCCCTGGAGTCAGGAGGACCTGAGTTCAAATCCGGCCTCACACACTTGATGCTTACTAGCTGTGCGACCCTGGGCAAGTCACTTAACCCCATTGCCTAGCCCCTCAAAAAACAAAAAAAAAAAAGAGAAGAAAAATGAAAGAGTTGGGCCCAATAATCTCTAGATCTTTGTAGCTCTAGATCCCACAGTATTTTGTTTTCTTGGTTTTTAGGGGGTTATCCCCCTTGTGTAATCTTTGGATAAGAACTTCTTGATGTGATTAGGGTTGGGTAGATAGAAGTTTTTTATTTTTTTGGTGCCTTCTGGAGCAATGTGTATTTCTCTTTGGCAAAGAAGGAAACATTAGTGTCTTGGCATTTTGGGAATTTGCTTTTTGTGAAAGTCATCTTACCTTTTGTTGAAAAGAGATAGTTTATGTCAGATTTTCTCTGAACCTAGGGCAAGTTCCTCATTAGAATTATAAAATATTAGAGCTGGAATTAACTTACAGATCCTTTAGTCTAATTTCTGGTTTCCTGATGGCTAGTGCTGACGACATACTGCCACTCACTTTATCATTTTGATTTCAGATTTTTTAGTTAGTTATATGATTTCCCCCTTCCATCCCCCACCCCCTTTTTTGTATCCTCCTCTGGTCACTGTCATTTCAAAAGCTAGTCATTTTAAATGGAGGGTTGTACACTTAGTTAATACTAGGAGTAGTAGGAAAGACAGTAAAGTGAGAGTCAGATGGCCAGAGTTCTAGTTCCCCTTCCCTCCACTAACTTGCCGTGTAACTTTGGACAAAGCACTTGATTTCTCTGGGCCTCAGTGATTTCTCTGGGCCTCAGTGAAGGAGCATGACTAGGTACTTTTTTACCAAGTCCCCTTCTAAATCAAAATTTTAAAATAGGTACGTGTGTCGGGAAATCTTCCCTCCCATTTTGAATCTGTATCATCCCCAGCAAATTCTTGTGATTTTAAGATCCTCTATAACAGAAGATCTTAACTTACAATCTATGAACTTGTTTTTAAAAAAATTTTGATAACTTATGTATCAGTTAGTTATCAAAATATTTTTGATAACTATATTAACTATAAACATAGTTTGATAACTATATATAAAATATTTTGATAGCTATACATATATATCAGTATAATTGTTTTTCTTTGTATTCTTGTGTTCTAAAACATCATTCTGAGGTAGGGTCCACGAGTTTCACCAGACTGCCTGGCAAAGGGGACTATGACAAAAAGGGGGTGAATTCCTGCTTTAAAAGATGGGTTTTTTTTTCTTTCCGATTACTCTATATCTGACTGAACCTTGGTAAAAAGGAGTAAGGCAGAGAGTGAGAGAAAAGAATATGGGTTTTATATCAGATTTTATTCTTTATCCCCTATAAATAGTTGATTATTTGTTGATGTTTATTCTAATCAAATGAGATAATCTTTATAAAGTGCTTAGCATAATACCTGGCACATAGTAGGTGCTCCATACCTGCTTGCTATTATTATTGAGTTTAGAAAAACTTTTTTAAAATACCAGTTCAGTTCAACATAATAAATACTTGAAAGCATATAGTATGTATGACATTGTTCTAGGTGCTAGGGTTAAAAAGACAAAAACATAACAATTCCTACCCCCACAGAGCTTTAAATGATTGATTTCACTGTGAAGAAATAATTTGGAGGATATGGATATGGTCAGCTTGGAAGATAGAAGGCTAAGTAATAGACTTCTCATGTTATCTCTCAACGAATACTCCCAAACTGATCTATTCTCAAGTTCTCCTCAGTGTCAGGCCTCTGTTTCCATCTGTCTACTGGATAGCTTCCACCTTAATATCTTGCAGATGTCAAACTTGGTGTGTGTCATCCCAAAGTGAATCACATGTTCCCCCTACCATTAAATTTGTTCTCTCTCACTTCTGTACTTCTGTTGATATACTGTACTGCTAATCTTTCAGTGACCCATACTTAAGACCTTGAAGACATCTTTGATTATTCGTTCACCCTCCAATGTTAAACCAGTTGTTAAATCCATAATATTGCATTTCCATTCACTCTTTCATTTCCACGGCCACTACTTTAATTCAAGCATCATTTCTAGCCTAGACTGTTGTAATGCTTCCTAACTGTTCCCTCTAGTTCCAGTATCCTCTCCAATTCATCCCCACTGCTGCTGTTATTTTCTTCCTATAGCACAGCTCTAGGCTTAGGGGTTAGAGATCATTTATTCCAAACTGTCCCCAACCAAAAAAACTGCCCTTTACAATAACCCTAACAGATACTCATCTAGTTTACAAGACCAGCATTATCTTCTGATGCCATAGCTCCCCACTGTCTACCAGATGAAATGAACTTGCCCTAGCATTGAAGCCTCTCCATCCTCACAGTCTGGCTGACTTTTCTGACCTCTTCTTATAGTAATCTCCTTCATAAATGAGCCATATTTGGCTGTGTTGAAATGAAGGTGGACTCTTTACTATCCCTTCATTCTTCATTTCTCTGCCTTCTCCATGCCTTTGTTCATACTGATCCCCTGTGTTTGCAGTGAACTCAACCTCCTTCCTTCTACTTGTCAAAGCCCTTCCTTTGAAGGCCCAACTCAAATACCAACCTTTCATGAAGCCTTCCTGGATAATCTCCCTGCTTAGATTTCTCGTAGTATTTGGTCTGGACACCTGTTTTGTCTTTTTCACACTCTGCCTCTTGCCAATACTGTTTGTGTATAAGTCTTGTTCCATTCACTTGACCTGTCTTGAGAGCCAGACCTGTGCCTTATTTCACCTAGGTATACCTAGGACCTAGTCTTCAATCTTATGTAGATTAAGTATTTAATAAAAGTTTGTTGAATTAAATGGATGAGGATTAATTTGAATTTTTTTTAAGATCAAAGATTGAGAAGGATTGAATATAACAGACAAATAATCACTTAGGCACCTAGGTGGTGCAATGGATAGAGCCCCTAACCTGGAGTCAAGAAGACCTGAGGTTAAATCTGTATGATCCTGGGCAAGTCCCTTAACCTTGGATTGCCTCAGTTTCCTCATTTGTAAAATTTTGATAATAATAGCACTTAACTCCCAGGGTTGTTGTGAGGATTAAGTGAGGAAATTAGCACAGTGCCTGGCACACAGTAAGCACTATATAAATGTTAGCTATTATTGTTGTATTATTATTATTACTTCAGGGAAGCCAAATCCTTTGCTTTTGACATCAGTTATCATTTTGGACTGTTTCCAAAACTGATTTTTAGCAGCTTAATTTTCATTTGAAAAGCTTGGCAGGTATTATCTGTAATTTTTGCCAATGTTCAGATACAAAGTAATCAGAAAGGAAAAAAAAAACACCTTTTTTTTTTTAAAGTGAGGCAATGGGGGTTAAGTGACTTGCCCAAGGTCACACAGCCAGTACATGTCAAGTGTTTGGTCTGAGGCTGGATTTGAACTCAGGTTCTCCTGACTTCAGGGCAGTGCTCTATCCACTGTGCCACCTAGCTGCCCCAAAACACCTTTTTTTGAAGCAAAAGTTTTTAACCTTTTTTATTTCACAAACTTTTGATAGTTGATGAAACCTATGGATCACTCAGAATCATGTTTCATAAAATAAAATACATAGGATTACAAAGGAGAATAATATCTTGAAATACAGTTAACAAAATATTAAAAAAAAAAAGTTCATTTATCCTAGGCTAAGAACTCTTATCTTAGAGAATCTTAAAATCACAAGGATTTGCTGGGGTTAGATCTCATTTTAAAAGGGCATTTTAAATTCTGCCATCTTCAGTCACTTTACTCCCTGCTCTCCAAGTCCCGTTTTCCCTGTTCTGCCCTCACTTTTCTCTGTGGAAGATAATTCTGTACTCCATATTAGGCATAATCCTGTCAGAAACCATTTTTATTTTTATTCATTTTAGATTAAACAATTCCAAACACCTTTCTGCCTAGAGAAAGAAAAGCCTAACTTATCACAATGCCCTTGGAAATCTCTTACAAGTTTTTTTGAGTTACAACTTACAGCTTTCCCAGACAGTAGACAAAAATTCTACTATCAAGATTGAATATGAATTAAGATTTTAGTCAGCAGTTCAGTTAACAGTTTGCAGTCTTGGAGAACCATTTTCCTAAAACCATTCCTTCCCTTTTCAGCTACTCGAAAGATTCTCTTTTTCAGATGGAGGTAAGAGAATGCTGATCTTGAGTGAATCAGTGTAGGTTCCTTGCCTGTTCACTCCCTCCCTTCTCCCACTCCCAAATTCTTTCAAAAGAGAGTAAGTTCCTCTCAAACTTTTTTGCCTCAAAGGAAGTGGTTAGGCCTTTGGTAAGGGGAGGAAAAAATTTAGGGCAAGATATTTTTGAAATTTGTAATTAAAGAAAGACCGATAAGGTTTTTCTTTCAGATTAGTCCAAAGGCTTCAGACAAAGCTACTGAGAAAAATTTTTCTTAATATTTATAAAAGAGGGATTGGGTGGGAGGGAGAACATTTAGTATGTTCAACTACACCCCGTATTTTATGCTTGATTTTATTGACCTCATGTCCTAGATGCTAAGCTTAGGTCCCTTCATCTTCCCCTCCTCCCCCATCTGCTTCCTCCATTCCTAAGAGTCACTGAAAGGAAGGAAATCTCACAACTGCTGAAATAACTGTGCTGACACTGCTTTGCAGCAGTTCTATTCTTTAGCTTTCTGTGGGTACTCTCAGGCCACGGCCACCTCTCTCTTAGCAGGAGACTACTTTGCCCTCAAGTGAGAAAATGAGCCCCCTCTTCTCTCCTGTTCCATATTTCAGACTCCCTCTTTGTCATCTCCCATTACTCTAGTCTGAGAAAAAAGAGTGGACCAGAGCCAATCCCTTTACTTGTTCTCGTAATCCCATCCCCCTCCTGTTTCTTTTAGGACCATGCCCTGTCAATGGTCTTATCTTGTTAATCTTCATTCTCTTCTAATCTACTGGCTCCTTCCCTTTTGCCTGCAAATGTGCTAGGGTTTTTCCCGGTCTTAGAAATCTTCATTTAGAAGAACACATTTTTTTCTGGTTTTTTTTTTTTTTTTGTTTGTTTGTTTGTTTGTTTGCATATGGCACTGTTTATCAAGTTCCTAGGATCACAGCTGTAGAGCTGAAAAGAACTTTGAAATGATCAGATTGATTCTGCATCTGTTTTTTAATTGGTCCTGTTTACAATTAATTGATTTTGTCATGTAACAAATTCAGCTGGCCTGTACTGACTTCAGTTTAGAATCTAGTTCTCCTGCTAATCACTGTTCTGTTCTTGCCTCAAGGGAGTCTTGTCTAGTATCTTTACACCACCAAGCCATCCTTCAAGGATGTCCCTGGTTTGCTATCCTAAGAAGTCTGGTCCATTATCTCTAACCCTGCAGGTGGACTCAAACAATGAACATTTCTTAGTCACAGAAGGGAAAGGAGAGGGTTTTGGTAGCCCTTCATTCCCAATTTCCAACCAATCATATTGTCCCTCAGTCCTCAGCTCTGTAACAAATCATGTTAATTTCACTATCCATGATGGCGAGCTCTTTTAATCAATCATAACTTGTTCCCTGCCTGTGAAGTCCTGTTCTTTGTTCTGTACTTCACAAAACTATAAAAGAGAGCTGTCCCCCTTACTTGAGGTCTTAGATTAGCTGGGGAAGCTAAGATCCTATTTATTGGTAAATTTATACTTCACTAATAAATTGATCACGCTCTGAACTTTGTGCCTCAGTTTACATTATTTTGATCATAACACCTTTCATTTTACAGATAAGGAAACAGAGGCCTTGAGTACCCTAGGTCACACGGCTTATAAGTGTCAGGTTGGATTTGAACCCAGGTCTTTCATACTACAAGTCTAGTACACTATCCATCATGTCATGCTGCCTCTCAGAATAACAAAAAAAAATTTTTTTTAATAAAAATTCCTTCATTTGACCCTGACATTTCCTTAAGCTATATTCTAGAGTCCTCCTTTTCAGCTGTCTGTACTCATTGCCTTCACTTCCTTACCTTCCACTCACTTTCAACCATATGAAATCTTCTTTCTCATTCCAACATTCTACTGAAACTGCTCTTCAAGTTAACCAGTAATTTGTTAATTGCTGAGTCCAGTAACCTTTTCTCAGTCTTCATCCATCTTGACCTCGCTGCTGCTTTTAGCACTGATACTTTTCTCTTTCATTGGTTTTTGAGACACTGTACTCTCCTGGTTTTCTAGCCGTCAGCTAGTCCTTCTTTGTTTTGTTTGCTAGATGGTCTTCCGTGTCTTGTCGTCAAAGTATGGCTATACCCTAGTGGCTGTGCTAAGGCCTCTTCTTTCTAAATCTCTTTCTTGGTGATATCACAAGCTCCCATGGGAACTCATGCAGGTGCTAGCCTTCAGTTCTCTTGGGCTCCTGGCCTGCGTCATCAGCTTCTTGCTGGATTTCCACCCGGATTTCCCATAGGCATCTTAAACTCAACTTGTCCAAAATAGAGCTCGTTATTTTGCCCCCAGACTTCACTTTTCTGCACTTTTCCTCCTCCTTTTGAAGGTACCACCATCTTTCCAGTCACATCCTCACCTTCCTTCACTTCTCACAGCCATTAATTGTCACATCTTCTCAGTTCTGCAAACACTTTTCCACTCTCCTCATTTTAAAGATGAGGAAACTGAAGTCCAGAGGAGTTAAATGATTTGCCTAAGATCAGACAGGCAATAAGCATCAGAGTGGGATTTGAATCCATGTTTTCTGCCTCCACACATCTGTCAAAAATAGAATTTGCCTGTTAAGAGTCTGATCCTGGACCTGTAAGAGTTTCATAAATAAGTTAGACATGTCAGTGAGTACTGAAAACAGTAGGCTCTGTTGTTTGGCATGTTTAAGAGAGGAAGGCCCGTGGCTTCCTGGAGAGCCCAGAGAAGTGGGAGCTGGATAGAAAGGTAAGGGTATCAGGATGGAATCCTTTACTATGGACAAGCTAGGGCAGCCCCTCAGACCTCATGCTATGGGGCTAGCACTAATACTTCTGTACTTGGGAAGCCCACCAACCTCCGTTTGGCTATGGTCTGGACTAATGCTTCTAAAGTGGGATGAGAAAGGGGCAGCAAAGGGTACGCCAAGGATGTTGCCAAGGAACCTGGATAATGCTGGTTTTCAGACTAAGTTGGGGAAAAGTCCATGTTGTGCAGGGTTCATCCTGGGTCAGTGATTAAGGGCAGCTTTGTTTAATTCCATGATCAGGACACCTCATGAATCAGCCTGAGTGGCGTGGTAGATTTAAGATAAGAGCTGCTCTTCTAGGAAAGGGCCTAACTCAGGAGGGTCTGGTTGGCCTCCTCCCTAGCACCACCTCCTCGAAAGTTACTGACACCTTTTACAAGGGAAACTTGGAACATTCCTTTCTTCTAGCTATGGAATGGCTACCTTGCCCTGTTGCACAAAAAACAGTTGACTGGGCTTGGGGGGGGGGGTGGGGGGGATATAAAACAGTCTCCACCCCTAACCCCATCTCCAAAACTGCAGTGCTGCCTAGAATGAACTAACTGCATCTCTTCCCTCAAGAATCTTCAGTGCTTCCCTATTTCCTGCTTGCTATTCCCCCACATGACATGCTATCTCCTCTCTCCTTGCCTTTTCACAGGCTGTCTGTCCCTCATATCTGGAATGCAGAGCCCCCTCATTTCCTCCATTTAGAATCTCTGACTTCCCCATTTCCTGCCACCTCATACATAAGGAGTTTCCTGATTCTTCCAGGTGTTAAAGCTTCTCCCCCCCTTTACTTTGTGTCTCCTTTGTCTTTGTTTCTCTGTGAGTGAGAATGTGGGCTCCTCGAAGACAGGTCAGCACTTAGTACAAGGGCTGGGGCAGAGACATTTAGGAAATGTTCCTTGAGCTCGATTACTATTTGATGTAATAAGCATGCAGGCAACAGCTGCATGGACTGCTCATGGAGGTCTGGTTCTGCTGATCTTGCTTGGCCTTGCTTCACATTTTCTCTCCACATTTTATGATAGTCTGTTCTTTTTCATTTTTGTGATACCCTAATGGGATGAGATGGCATGGAATGAGGAGCTCCCAGCAAGGAAAACCCCCTTTACCCAAAGCAAAGCAGAATCTGCTCTGCAACTTATAGCCTCTAGAGCTGCCTACAGCATTGAGAGGTTAGATGATTTGCTCAAGGTCACACAGCCAATATGTAGAAGCAAGACTTGAACCCAGGTCTTCCTAAGTCTGAAGCCAGTACTTTATCTGCTATGCCACCTGCCTTTCAACACCATAATATTCTATGATATTAATATAATACAATCTATTCAGCCTCTCGCCAACAATTTCAACTTATAGGTGACTTCAAGTCTTACCATATAAGATCTGTCAACACCTTTGTACAGATAGGTTCCCCCTTTATTTTGATGATCTATTTAGGATAAAGTCTTACAATGGAATCACTGAGTCAGAAGGTAAGATTAGCTCTTTGACAACTATTGCATGTTCTTTGGCACCATTTCTGGGCTATTAAAATCCTATTTAATAATTAGCACAGGGAAAATACTATGTCCTTAATTATAAGCAGTTTGAAATTCACTTCATAATCATTTTCCCAAGACATTTAGGTTAATTCTTTTAACTGTAACAGTTAAAAAGAAAGTACTTTTTGTCTTTTACAATGAAAGACCCTATTTCAGATACAGATAGCAGATACATACCCTCAGTAGAGATTATTTAATGGAAAGATAGTATGTGCTGCTTGATCCTCAGATGTAGTAGGCACTCAGCTGTTTGAGTGCATCAGTGTACCTATATCTGTGATGCTCAGGAAGGAGGTGGCCTGTGATTGCACTTATAAACATTAATCTAATTATATTTTTGTTCTTTGATAAAAATTATTAACATAAATCAGTTTAATAAATAGAGATGAACTATTTTACAGCATTATGTTGGAGGAAATGCAGCTTTAATTGGGCAGAAGCTCGCAGCAAATTCAGATTTGAAGGTAAGTCAAATTCCCCTATGAAAATTTTAATACCTTTCACAAGTGTTTCCACAATTTTGTGATTAAGTATTGCAAATAGTCTCATACTTCCATAACTTTCCTTTCTGCTTAACATATACTTTCTAAATGGGAGGGTATAGAACAGGGATGGGGAATCTTCAGTGACCAGGAGTTGCCAGTCAGTATAAGTGATTTAAACAAGTATGTTTGGCAGGAAAGGGGCAGTTAAGAGTCAGATGAGTGTAGGGTGATCTATTTGGTAGAATTTCTTGAAGTCTGTTTGACCTGAGGAATTTAGGAACTAGTACAAGGTTCAAAATAAGACCATCAGAGGAAGACTATTCTTGCTGTGAGCATGGTGACTACATCCCTCTATCCATACTACTGAGGACTTGAAATGGGACCCTTTCCATCCTCCTTTTTGTCGCAGGTTTGTTAGGCTGTTAGGCTAAGCTAGATAAACCAGAGGAGAGCTATTATAACTTAGGAACACTAGAGAAGAGGAGAGTGACTTATTCCTAGAATCCAGGTTTAAGATAATTAAAACTTGAATTAAGGCAGTAGGATTGGGAAGCAGGATCAGATTGACAAAATGTGGAATTGGACCATAAGTGAAGAACAAAGAAAGATTGATTAATCAAGATGATTGACTGCAGGGTGACAAGGGTGACAAATCATGTGCTCAGTCTTAAATGTGTTTAGTTTTAGGGAGCACAATTATAAATAGCAAGAAATGAATGTGGCTAAAGGTTAGAAAAATGGCATTTGGAGCCGTCAGCCTTATAAGGTGGTAATTTTTTTCCCTTTCCACTTACTCCTTTGAGGAGTTAAGTGGAAATCTCAGATATTTAGAAGATACTCTCTATCAGTGAGTAGTGGAAAAAAAGCCAGAAAACTGATGAACTGATACATAGAGGAGCAGGAATGTCACTGATCCTACAGAAGCAGGAAGGTGGCACAGACACGGGGCCAAATACTCAGGACCACCCCCTTACACACACACACCTTGAATTCGGCTGCAGCTTCTCAGATGAAGGCTCGTGATGTTACTCTCGGGCACAAGAGTCATGAGAGACTACTTGTCCTGCTGAGTTTGGGCAACTTGGAAGGTTCTGGATCGAATAAGAGTTGAATCACTGAAGACACTTTCTGAAGAGCCAACTTTGAATTTGAAATCAGGAGTCCTTTCCCCCCCTTCTCTGCCTGCCCAAAGCTACTTTTGAAGGAACAGCCTTCAGAGAGACCCTGGGCTGGTATCAATTTCATGGGATGCTCATCATTGTGTTCAACTTGCTGTGATGCCTCTGAAAGTGTGTAGACTGATTAACCGAGATGAAAGGAACAAAGGTCTCCAGATGGGGAACCTGAATCCGTGTCAAGACATTGAAGGGTGAAATAATGTGACACTGAAGAAAGGAAGGACCGCTAAAGCTTCAGAGGTCTGATATGGAAGAGGCACAGCTTTCTTTTGAGCAATGAGCCTCATCTGGTACTTGAGAGAATAATGATATGGATTCATAGGTTCTCTCAGCAGAATAGTTATCTAGCACTAGTTAGAAGAAGAAGAAACAAGCAATAGGTAGGGGGCTGGTAACCCGCTGAGGGATAGCAGGAAAGTTCTATATTGGCAAAAAGTTTTGAAATATTCTGTCTTCGTGGGATTTGTATTGGGGATGAAATTGCCTCACAAGATTAATCTAACCTAGTGGACAAAACCCACTATTGGTGATTTAGCTGGGGGTACATGATGCTACCAGAATGAATCTAGGAAACCACTGAAGACTGCAAAGTCCTGGGCAAAAGACTGAATACATTGAGGGCAGGTAGGCTATTTTCCATTGCCATCTGTTGAAGGTAGAGGCTCTAGAAGAGGAAGACATATTGGAGAAAGAACAACTGATTAAGAAGGTGGTGTCTGAGAAATTGAATTTCAATTTCTGGACTGCTAGTTAAAATACGAAATGATGGACTTTTGGCTGGGGATGTTTTAAAGATACCTGAAGACAGCCGGAAAAATATGTATTTGCCTGGAGCCTTTCAGGACTTACCAAGAGGGCTTTCACCTGAAAATGGTGAGGAAGAAGGCTGCCTATTTGTATCTGCTATGCTACCTAACTCAGAGGAGCTAGTACAACATGGGAGAAAGAAAATCATCAAAGCAGACAAGTACTTCACAGAAGACAATATCCAAAAAGAGAAATGGCAGTAAAGCCACTTATCTCAGATGACGGTCTGCCAGTCTACAAAATATAGATGATAAATTAAATTACAAATCTTAATGCAAGAAAGTTAGTTCAGTCTGATAGATATCACTGAGCACCATCCCCGCCAGTCTAGCCTGCAGCCCGTCCTTGCCTTTTCATCCTGCATAATTCTTGCATGTGTCCATTCATAAATCCTCTATAGGATATCTGCCCACCGAACTGGAAACTGTCATCTGGTTCTTTCAGTACTCCACAGATGCCACTCTGAGAGTTGGGCTATATCCTCTTGTTCCTGCTATTGGATTGTCCCACCTCCTTTTCTGGTCATAGGTGTACTTGATGGAGCCTTTTATTTCTTTCATTTATGTATTTATTTGCTTGCTTGTTTATTTATTTATTTATTTATTTTGGGCTAGGCAATGGGGTTAAGTGACTTGCCCAGGGTCACACAGCTATTGAGTGTTATGTGTCTGAGGCCATATGTGAACTCAGGTCCTCCTGACTCCAGGGCCGGTGCTCTTATCCACTGCGCCACCTAGCTGCCTCCCATGCGTTTTATTTCTTCTGTACAAGCCTTCGTGTAGAGGTATGCTTTATTCAAAGGGTACAGATTAGATAAAAGTGCTATAGACTAACACTTAGAATAACTCAATATTAAGACTTTATGTGTGTGTATACACACACATACATATAGTCATACGTGTGTATGTATATATTACATAAAATCTTAATGTTGAGTTACTGATTACCCAGGAATCATGGGGAGAAGTATGATGGAGAGCATTTGGATGTGAAGATTAATGAAGGGGGAGCTGGATGTGCCATGGTGATGATAATACACTACAGACCACTATAAAGAAGATACAGATAAGGAAAGGAACTCAGGAAGCATTTATGTAGTATGGAGGCATTTGGGACACTTAAGCTATCCAGATTTGTGGAAGCAGAGCACCTGATAAATTCTTGGTTTTCCTTAATGCTAATTTCAGGCAGCTTGATGGCACAGTGGATAGAGTGCCAGGTCTGGAGTCAGGAAGACTCTTCTTGAGTTCAAATCCAGCTTCAGACACTTACTAGCTGTGTGACCCTGGGCAAATCACTTTACCTGGTTTGCCTCAATTCCTCATCCAGAAAAGGAGCTGGAGAAGGAAAGAGCAAACAACTCTGGTGTCTTCGCCAAGAAAATCCCAAATGGGGTCACAAAGAGTCGGATACAGTTGAACAGCAACAACGATAATTTCATTCTTCAAAAGGTAGAGGAAGGAATTACTGTTTTAGATGGGCTTCTTAGCAGTAAGAAGTAACTGACTGCTGAACTAGATATAACGAGAACCTTGGGAAGAAGTGACTCTCCGTCTTAAGAATTCATGGTAGAGAAAGAGGAAACGCAGATGTAACTTGTGACCCACCCTAGTTTCTGACGATGAATTGCAAACAGTTCAGAAAAATGATAGGTAGGATCTCCTTTGCTAAAATCCTATAAAGGTTGTGCACGTGCAAAGAAGGGAATGCTGAAATCTGATATTCTGAATATGCATGTACAAAAAAGAAAAGGCAGAGTTGTCTAAAGAAGCTGTATATGTAGAGAATATTCACCTACCTTGGTTTAAAAAAAAAATGTGTCAGTAATAGATTCAAGGGCAGGCAACTGAAGATGAATGTTTTAAAAGTAGCGTGGCCTTCCAGAAACAGTATCAGGAGCATTAAAGTTCAGAATGAGCTGAGGCTAAAAGTGTGGGAGGGTATTGTTCTATTTTTTAAATTACATTGGAGCAAGAGGAAGATTAAAGAATGAATAGCATTATTCTTTGGAGTAGATAGGACAAGGATGATTGACAGTACTTCTGTTTTCTCTGTCAAGAATGATCTTTGGATTGGGACTGATACATTTTTGCTTCAACAGAGAGTTGAAACTGAGTATTTGTGAGGAGGTGGTAAGAAAGCAACTAGTTATGCTCAAAGAGCTCAGCTCCCAAGGCCAGGATTATAAGGTACTTACAGAAAAATCTGATGCATGTTGTTATAGAATTGCTCTTATATAGTTGAAAAGTTGAGGAAAGTGAGAGTTTCTACAGTGCTAGAGTGTTCCAATTTTCAAAAATTGAGAAAGGAAGGGAGTCTTTAAACTTCAGTCTAGTGAGCTTTACTTTTGATTCCTAGAAAAATTTTAGAATGTATTATTTATTAGTGGAATCGTTTGTGGGTATTTAGGAAGGGTAGTAGTATTCACCGAGACTTAGGGTAGCTTCATCAAGAAAAGGTTAGCCAAACTAACCTTGATTCCTTTTTTTGCCAGAGTTATTAGCCTACTAGATCAGGAGAATGCTTGTCGGCATTATGTATCTTAATTTCAAAAAAGCATTTGATATTTATAGCAGCTCTTTTTGTAGTGACTAAGAATTAGAAATTGAAGGGATGCCTATCAGTTGGGGAATGGCTAAACAAGCTGTGATATATGATTGTAATGGAATATTATTCTGCTATAAGAAGTGACAAGCAAGATGATTTTAGAAAAACCTGGAAAGACATAAACTGATGCATAGTGAAGTGAACAGAACTAGGAGAATGTTGTACACAGTAATAGCAATATTGCTTGATGAAGAACTGTGAATTACTTGGCTGTTCTCAGCAATACAATGATCCAAGACAATCTCAAAGGACTAATGATGAAGCATACATACTGTCCGCCCCCAGACAAAGAACTGATATTGTTTGAATACAGAATGAAGCACACTATTTTTCATTTTCTTTCTTTTTTTTCTTTTATTTGAGTCTTCTTGTACAAAATGACTAATATGGAAATGTTTTACATAATTGCAAAAAAAACCAATGATATATTTTTTAAAAAGCATTTCACTGTGTTTTACAATATTTTTGTTTACAATATGGAGAGATATGAGTAGGTGATAATATAATGTGTGGTTGATTGTGAACTGGTTGAATGACCAGGTTCAAAGAATCATCATTAATGGATCCATGTCCTCTTGGTTTGAGGTATCTAATGGAGCGCTACTGTTCTCTTCTAAAGACTCATCCCTGATTTGGATGAAGACATACATGACATATTTATCCCATTTGTAGATGAGAAAAAATTGGGAATCTAGCTAACACATAATCAGTAGGATCCACAAAATTCTCCTTAAGTTTGAATGATGGTCCACCTTCAATAAGACCAAATTTAGTAAAGATAAATGGAAAGTCCTACGTTGGGAGTCAGGAATCAACTTCATGAGAGTATGAAACAGGATAGACCTATCAGAAAAGATCTGGGAGGTCTAGTGGAGTTCCAGCTCAGTGTGAGTAGCCGTTGGGACATGGTGATCAAAAAGACCAATGTGATCTTAGGTTTAATTACTGGAAGTTTTGTATCTAGGCTGAGCTAGGTGGTAGTCCCACTGACTTTGCCTTCATGAGATGACACCTTAAGTATTATGTTCAGTCCAGGATGCCACATATTAGGAAGGACAGTGTGTCAGAAGGAACACGATTAGGATGGTGAGACCACTGGAAGCCATGCCATATGCAGATCTTTTGAAGGAACTGAAGAGTCTGGCCTGGAGAAGAAAAAATATGGAGGAATGTGACTACTGTGTTCAAGTGACTGAAGGATTGTCATGGAAGAGGCATTAGATTTATCATGCTTGATCTAAGAAGCAGAATTAGGAACAATGTTTATCAGTTGTAGAGAGGCAGATTTCAGCTCAATGTAACTAAAAAGCTTCCTAACAATCAGAACAATCCAGAAATGGAACAGGCTGTTTTGGGGGATTGTGAGTTCCTTGTCACTGGAGGGATAGTCTACCAGTCTCGATGACGATTTGTTACAAATGTTCTACAGGTTTGGATTGGACTAAATGACCTTAACATGCCTTCTAACTTGAAAACTGTGATTCTGCAAATTCCAGAAGGATGAGGACAAATAGTTATTTCATTCCGTAAGGATAGGTTACTTGTGACTTCTTGTGGTTAAAAAGAAAATCAGAATGCCAGAGAATTGATGGCATAGAAAGTCAATGCAGGGATTACAGTTCAATCAGTGAATACGGCCAAGCTATAGAGTGGTGCCTGGATGGGGTCAGTAATACCTTCGGTGTTGATACGGGGGTAAAACAAAAGGAGGGAGGAAAGAAAAGCATATTTTAATCCTATGAAGCCTAACTTTTATTTCTTAGCATACAGTATTACGAAAATGCTATAGGACTTACTGATTGAAAGAGTCAGTAAGCCAAATAGCAAGTCTAAACTTACTTTGAAGTGGTTTAAAAGGAGTTAACGTGAAACTTACTTGTTCATCGCCTTTTGGACATGACAGTCCTTGTTCAGCCAGTGCTCATTCTAACGGACGTTTGTCTGTGTTGCACAGCCACCAAAGAATTCCACACTATTTGCTTGAGAGAGGCCCAGGACTGGAGTAGCAGAGGGAGCAGCTTATCAGAACTGAGGTACATTGGCAGAGTTGTGAGGTGGTTTACAATAAGAAAGGCAAGGGGAGGCATAGGTTAGAGTAGATTTTAGAAAGATTCATGACACTTTCCATTCCCTTTCTGCATTGACATGTAGACAATTCCCTTACTTTGAAGATTAGTACATATGTATAAAAACAAAATCACTTGAAGTGTATAAACTAGGCCAACTAGTCATTAATTATGCTGTTACCAGGGCGCCTTTTCTCTACCTGTCTAAAGTTCAAACAGATCTGTTTTTCCTTCAGTGCCTTTGGGCTGGTGTGCCTGGTGACATTCAGCACTGTAGTATGATTTCGCGTCCTCTGCCCCACCTGCTCTGTCTTTGGTGGCCTAGGAAAAGGAAGAGAGTAAAAGTGGGGGTTGGGAGTACATTGGAGCGCTTGTTTCAACAACACCTATTATCTGTAAAATCTGTGACTTCCCATCTGTTTCCAGTCCCTTGACTCACCACCTGCCCTTGGTGTTTGTAACTTTAGCCACCGCTCTCCTTAGAACAGTCTAGGAAAGTCAGCTCTCCTAATGATAACACTCCCTGTCATTAGTTTTCCCTCCAAACCACAGCCTTCCTGATGCAGATTAAATTGTGGTGTGGTATTTTAATAGAGGAATTGAATTGTGTGTGCTTTAGCAGTCAGAAATTAAATTTATTGGGAAAAGAGCCTCTTGATAGACCTCATTTTGGTTCTCTCCAGGTTCTTCTTTGTGGTCCAGTTGGCCCCAAGCTGCATCATCTTCTTGATGACAATATAGTTGTTCCCCCGGAATCAATGCAAGAAGTAGATGAGTTCCACCTCATTCTGGAGTATCAAGCAGGTAACGAAAATGCTTAACAAGCTTCTCTTCTGAGCCACATTGAGAGTGTCTGTCCCTAGCAGCTTTAAGAGATAAAAGAGATCTTGAATTCTTTAGATATTTGCAGGTTTATAGTACCTAAGTATTAACCAGTAGGATCTAGTTTCTCCCTTCACCAAAAAGCTCTCCCTTTAATACCTTTTACCTTTGTCTCAGAGAGAAATGGGTAGTTGGGTCATCTAGAAAATCACCCTTGTTCAGAATCCCAAGGCATAAAAGAAATTCAGAGTGTATAGCACCAGCACTGTGTACTATTTCAGATTTATGATGCTTTCCCCTGTTGGTAAGACATTAAGTGATGTGAGTGCAGATGTAAATTTTTGCTCTATCTTATTCCTGACCCATCTGCCCGCTTACTGGCAGTTCTGGGTCATTCAAAGACTTACTGATTCTCTAGGCTGTCCTTTTGCTTATTTTGCTATTTATTCGTAGTTCCTTTTAGTTGTTGAAGAAGTGAATGGAAAGATGAAAAACAAACTAATATCCAACATCATTTTAGTTATCTTTTCACTTTGTGTAAGGGGAGGCTACTCCAAAGATTTTTAAATTTACCCAGAAAATTATTTTGAGTGTTGATAGAAATGATTATAATCTGATACTGAATAATTAATTGCATGGGGTATTGATTTCTGGACTAGCATTAAATTTCTTGAAGCACGTTTTAGTTTCTTCTCTGTAGAGTGGTTCCCATGTTTATTGTGACCTTTCCATTCACTGCTTTCTGTTCATTCCAACAAACTTTTTGACTCAAATGCCTTTGCTCTAAAGAGAATGATGAGTTCACTGAAGTCACAGTGTGTTTCAGTGAACAGTTTCTAAGCCAGGCAGAATCGCAACGCACAAGAGGAATTATTTAATTATAACTCACATTTGGATATGCAGTGTTGTATGATGAATTATAGTGTTTGTCCAGGTACAAAAAAGAGCTCTTTTTCAAGCCTAAGATTTTCTTTGGGCTTCTCACCGAAATTGATCAAGAATTCAAGAAGGATATGTCCTAAGAATTGGGAATTGAATTTGCAATTGGTGACTCACATTTGACAATGGATGAGTCTTAGTCTCTCCCTGCCTCAATTCCCCCAACTGTGAAACAAGTTGTTATTGACTGAATATTTTACAAAGGTGTAGTGAGGGTAATTAGTGTCCTTAAACGTTATGAGCTTCTTAGATGAAAGGTATGATAGAAAGTACTGACTGAAATGCTGAGTGTTCATCAAAAACATTCCTTTGAGTTGTAGAAGCCAGCTCCAGAGTGGTCTTACTTACATTTAATGGTAGAATTATATTATAGTCCAGAATGTGAAAAGATTATCAACTCTTCTGTTTCTGCATTTTGGAGTGGGGCTACTATCCCAGGCTACGTGGTCAGTTTCTTCACCTTCCCCTGCCCTTTGCTTCCTAAGGTTTCCTTCCTTGAAAGGAAAGAAAATCTCTCTTCACTTCTATGTTCTTTAGCACCACTTGAGTTACTAATTCAATAGCTTGAGTTATTCTTACCTACATGTTCATTTTCTTAATTTAGTTAGCTTAACTACAGATTCCAACTTAGATGAAGTTTGAGTAGACTTATATTTTCAAAGGCAAGTGGATTGAAACCACTGTGGCCATCTGGGAAGAGCTTTACAATAGCCTCCTTGCAATGAGAAACCTGGCCCTATCCTCTCACAAAATGAGATTTTTTTAATTTCTGGAGAAATGTCTTTCTGACTTTTATTCTCTTTTCCTACTAGCTCCCCTTCTTCCCAAAGAGTTGTTTTGGTTTTTGTTTTTTTAAGGCTTTTAGCTTCTCATAAAATGAGTAGTTAATAGAGTTCTCCATGGTTATTTATTGCTTTTTGATGGAAAGAGAAGTAGCCTGGGGAAGGAGGGGTTGGAATGCCCAAAAAAATTGTGTGTAGAAGCAAATAAAATGCTTTGGGTAAGTTCAGCTCCTATGACATTCATTTAGACATTGAGGAAGCTTTATGAGCCTAACACTTGCTTTAGGCAAATACCTGGGCATTGCTGCTAGAGAAAATCTAGTGAGGCTTTCAGTGCAGCTGCTTGAGTGTATAAAGCCCTGACCTGCACTGTATGCTGCTTTTTCTTTGTTACAGTTTTCTGAAGCCTGTGAATATACATTGCCTCTTTGTCTTCCATAATGAAATGTATCTCCTAGAATTTTAAAGTTGCAAGGCACTTCCAAGATCATCAAGGCCAATTCTCACCCAAACTGAATCTCTTTGACAGCACGTCATGCTCCAGCCTCTAGTTTGAAGATTTGCCAAGTTGGAAACACTTGACCTCAAAAGGCAGCCCATTCCACTTCTAGACAGCGCTAAGGAGCTTTTTCTTTATATTTTGTCGAAATCTGCCTCTCTGTAGTTTCTGTGTAGGGAGGGGAATTAGCTTTTATATAATCCTACTTTGTGTGCTTTATAGGCACTGTGCTTTACAGGTATTTATAACCCTGCAAGGTAGGTACTGTTGTAACCTCTATTTTACAGTTAAGGAAACTGAGGCAAACAGGTTAAATGACTTGCCCAGGGTCATACAGCTAGTAAATATCTGAGGCCAAATTTGAACTCAGATCTTCCTGACTTCAGGCCCAGTGTTCTATCCATTGTACCACTTAGCTGCCCCTAATTTCTACTTATTACTGCCTTATGGGATCAGGCAGAATAAATCTACTCCTTTTTCCCTCCATGATAGCTCTTCAAAGATTTAAGGGTGGCTCTCATGACCTCCCTTTGTCATCTTAAAGGTTCCTTCAGTCAGTCTTCATATGGCCTGGTCTCTAGGCTTTCTCTGCTAGACCTTCTCTCGATGTACTTCCCTTGTCGATGTCCTTCCTAACTTATTGGTGCCCAGAATTGAATGTAATACTCTAAAAGTGGTCTGACTGAGACCTTGCATATTAGGACTATCAACTCCCGTGGGCCTTATGCTGTGCCTTTATCAATGGAGCCAGAGATTTATTCATTTGGTGATGGGGGGGTTGGGGAGGGGAGCCCACTGTATCACACCATTGACTTACTGAGCTTGCCAGTCCATTAATGCTCCCAGGCCTTTTTCACATGAACTGTGATTGCCTTACCCTCCATTGTACAATTGAATGTTACTTATTTACTGTTTTACAATTTATTTTCAGTTGTCTAATTTATTAGTCATTAATCTTATTTGCCTTACACATAAAGTTTAAGTGAACAAATTCCAACTGATGACATACTCACTTTCCCCCAGGGTTTCTGTAATTTCCATTTCACCAGTGTTCATGTTATAAAGATCTTAATTATGAACAGCCTTTACATTTGTATGAGTTAAGATTTTAAAGGGTAATAGATTGGGGGAATGGGAGGCACAGTGCCAAAGGCTGAAAAGGGAGAGATGGGAAAAGGAAGATGGTTGACATTGTTCTCCATGACATAAACTCAAAGGCATCTAATGCTGGGTGGTTTTTTTTTTTTTTTTTCAATTAAGAAAAAATTATAATAGGCTTTGACAGAGGATAACAAACTTAATCATAACTACGGACATGAATGATATAAATTTATGTAGTAAACTAGAAAAGGGTGGCTGAGTTAAAATGAAGCATTGGAGTGGAAATGATTGCACCGTAACTGAATGCAGACAAGCTGTAGTGGCTGTCATGTTCTCAGGTAAAGCAACAGTAAAAACAGGAACAAGCATGAAAATACATGGTACTTACAAGTGCCATAGGTGATGGAGCCCTGCTGCCCTTTTCGTTTTTGATGGGACCTAGTGATGTGCTCAGGGTGGGTAGGCGTGGGTGCATTGCAGTCCGCATGGGTGGATCTTTATGTCATTTTTCCCCCTAAATCCATGTCTCTTCTGAACTCTCTTATTTCTGTCAAGGCCATTACAGTCCTCTAGACAGCTAGATCAGAGTATTGGGCCTATAGTTGGGGAGACCTGAGATCAGATGGGGTTACAACAATAGCAGCCACTTCACAGGGCTTTGTGGACCTTCCAGCCCTGTGTAATGCTGTTATTGTGATTGTGCCAGTGCCCCCAGCTGCACAACTTCAGCGTCATCCTTTGCTCTTCACTCTCTCTCCCTCATTCCACATGTCTGATCAGGTACAGAATCTTGTCCTTTCCACAACATCTCTCACCTGCTCTCCAGCTATGCCCCTAGCCCAGGCCTCCCCCTCTCCCTTAGAACATTCAGTGCAGCAGCCTGCCTCCATTTAATTCATGCTCTGCAAGGCTGCCAAACAGCAGACCTGACCAAGTCACTGCCCTCCACTCAGACTCTAGCAGCTCCCCACTAACTTCAGGAGAAGGTGGCATTTTATCTTTAGCTTATCTCTTAAAATTTATACTTTAGTATAAGTTTATGTATATAATTTATAAATATATGTTCAGGTATGGGTGAACTAGATGACCTCTTGCATCTCTTCCAGCTCCAAGATCTGTGATTTTTAGGTCAGAATATGAATTCCTCCCACTTCTCTTACCTCCTGAGGAATAATTTCAGGTAGGCTAGTCAGGAATGTATCAAATCCTTTGCTTTTAGCAGAATGAGACTGTCAACAGATGTCTCAGTAGTTATATTCTCCCATGACTACTACTTCTTGATTCTATGCCAGTTTTATTAGTAGTACAAGGAACTTATCTTCATCTCCTCCCATCTGGATAAACAGGTCTGTCATATACTTTCACATTGAAATAACTTTCCTCTTCCTTTTTGGTATTCACCTAAATGCTCCTGACTTTGTTTCCTATTTCACCTCTCTAGATTTCCCTAAGGTACAGATTTTCTTGACATACAGTGCTACTTGGTGACTCTTTCTGCAGATTTGTTTCTTTTGAACAAGGGATCACCTTCCATTGCCATATTCTAATCAGTCAAATATTCTTGGTGTTAATGAGGTTTCATTTATTTCCTTATGTTTAAAATGTCAGGTTCACTCAATATTACTGTGCACATTAGTAAATAGATACCTAAAACCATCATTTTTGTTCCCAGACTTCGTGAGTTGCTAGGATTTTCTTTCTGTGTTCTCTTTACTGAGTGTACAATTTCATGTAGGCATTTTTCTTGCTCCACGTCCAGTTTTCAGTTCAAGCCCCCTTAAACAAGTTGGCAAGTCTCCAGGCAAACATATTCTTCACAGTCTTTGAGTTGTATTCTGTCACTAGCCGAGAACCTATTTTAGTATCTTAAGCCATGGTCCAGAAAACCATATCCCATTCTTTTGATACCATCCACTTAGCCAATCTCTTCACTCTCTTTATTCTGCTTTTTCTTCTAAAATCCTCACCTTTGACTGAAAAAAATGGGAAAAAAAGCACCATAGCCCTTCGCCTCAGTATTTTGGATTTCCTGGGCCTTAGTTCATAATCTTTTTGGGGAGAGAGGGTTAGTATCTGTCAGAGTCTGTCCCCCACTCCTGAAATGCATGATGACCTTGAGCTCAAAGGTCATTTGCATATGAGACCTTTCCTGACCCTCTCCCTCCCATTTTACTCAAGATTCACTTTTTATCTAGGTTAGTTTTTCTCCCTAGTAGAAGGTACATTCCTTAAAGGCAGGAATTGTCCTCATTTTTAATCTTTGGATTTCTAGAATCTAGCACAGCACCTAGCGTGAAGTATACACCTCCTATGTTCTACTTGTTGTTGCTACCTCTTAGTGGGTAGTGGGTTGGAGGAGTTAGAATAGCTTTTTTGTGTGCTTCTGTGTCCCAAGAACATGCATACCTCCTGGCTGTCATTTCAGGGTGGGCATCTGATTTCATCTTCCTCAGCAAGGAGTCACCACCTAATTATCTGTCATCTTCTTGGGGGTGCTAGAAGTGACATTTGTCGGCTTTTCTCATTCTGTGAAACTTAGGCTACTGCCTTCTCAGTCTAGGTTTACTTATCATGAGAGGGTTTACTATCTCTATTACATGAGTGAGTTAGGGCTTTCCTCCCTCATTTTTCTCTTCAGTGTCACATTTTTCCATTTATCAGACTCTCTGAGCCCTGGTTTTGATTCCCCTGTACCTCTCCAGAATCTTTTATTTTCTGATTTCCTTCTTGCATCTTTTCTTCCATCTTGTCTAGAAACTCTTCACTGAGAAGTATCAGTCACCTTTCACCTTTTTCTTGTTGGAGTCTATGGCTTTTACAGAAGAGAATCTAGCCTTAAGGCCATGCTGTTGTGATTGAAGACAAGGATAGGGAATGCATACAGCAGCCATATAAGAATAAAGGTTTAGGAGGACAGACAGGTTAAACAAATGGCTAGTTCCTCTAGCATATCCTGTATCATGCTTTCCTTATCTGGTAAACTAATAATTTGTGGTAAATGTTTTATTTACTGTGCCTGGTGAGGGTGAACTGGTTAAATATTTTTGTGGGCTTGTAATATTAAGTCTGAAAGAGATATCCTAGGTTTGAATTTTGAAATCGAGGGTGAAGTATCCTTTCTTGGTCTGAGTGAATCCCAGGCAAACTTTGCTTTGTTGGCTTTTAGGATGTGTAGGGCAAAGTTTATTGGGGAACAAATCAAGGTGGCATGTATCTTGAGCATAATTCATGGGACAGCACACAAAGTGAGGCAATATCAAGACCTCAAGATGTGTACTGCTTCCCTTCCAGCTTTAGGGTTTAGTAATGTGCCCTTGGAGCTACTCTAGAGAAAGGGGTCTCCTTCCCTTCCATATATTTGGTATTATACCACTTATATACTGATACTAATATGTACAGCCTTCCCTCATCCAGCTTTACCTATGAAGGGACCTTCATTCGCTCACTGGAAGTGTAACATATCTGACCCTCCCTCCAGTCAAATCAAAGCCATGAATTCTTAGCACATATTATATTAGCCCCTGAAGTGGGTAGGAAAAAAATGAGTGACACATTGCTTGACCTAAAGTCATAGTCCAAGATCACAGCAGAAGAGATGTTACAAGGCTGTATTTGATGACCTGCCAGATGGTTTGAAGAAAAGTGTGAATTCTTTAGGTTGGTAGTCAGGAAGGCTCTACAGAGGAGATGGGATTGAGGTTAGGGCTTAGGACTCTATTCTTAAAGGGACCACCCTCTGGCAAGCTTGGTAGGGCTAAACTGTATGTATTAATAAAGAGCCCAACTCCTGTTTATGTGACAGATCAGTTTCCTCTTAACCCCCGGGTAAATGTTTATAGTTGGAGGAGGGGGCAAAATTAGCTTGAGCCCCACTTCTAAAATTAAAGGATCTAGCTGAGCTGTCTGGAGTCCAAGAAAAAGGTAGGCTCTTAGAACTATGCCTACCTTGCAAAAATGAAGTAAGAGATAGAAAAAATAAACAGGCAAAAATGGTAGTGTTGTTTTTAACCATATGTATCTTTGCTGTCACTTCTCCCAGAATTTGCGCTCTTCCTTACTATGAGGCAAGGGGAGAGATGACAGCAAGTGTAAAAGACCAGTAAGGTCCTGACAAGTGATGGATGGATGATCCCTCATCCCCCACCCCAACCTTCTATCCTTGAACTGTACTTTTAGGTCTGTCATCTACTGGGATGTGTTCTTGGGTAGACGATTCAAGAGGTATTTTCACAATTTAAATGAATAAAGCTTCTTTGGCTTGATTTGGTTTTTGCTAGATTCTGTCTTATCTGAAAACTTAAAAGGAAAAACCATTATGAGTTTTGTATGAGGTAATATGGTAATCTCAGGAGTTTTAATTGAATCCTCTCAGTAGGACACCAACCCTGAAGAGGAGGTATTTTTATTCCTAGGGCAGGGCTTTTAACAAGAGTGCTACAGTTTATAGCCAAATGAGGAGATTTAAATTATTTTTCCTTTTCTTCCCATGCTGGTGACTGGGCTTGTGTAGGGGAGCAGTGGGGACATTTGACTGCGCCCAGTGCCAACCGATTCATCTTCTCACATGATCTATCCAATGGAGCCATGAATACGCTGGAAGTGTTTGTGTCCAGTCTGGAAGAGTTTCAGCCAGACCTTGTGGTCCTCTCTGGATTGCATATGATGGAAGGACAGAGCAAGGAGATTCAGAAGAAGAGACTTCTAGAGGTAAACATTCTAGAGCCTTTGCAAAATTTGACAGGAATGAGCCTTCCCAGGGCCTTGTACCTTGTGTTCCTTAATTGACTCTCTGCTGGCTAAGAAACTTCTGCGGGCTGGCTCCCTGAGTTTGTCTCTGTCTTGGTATCTATTCTGCGTATGGTGTGTGTGTAAATCTTATCTCTTACACCAGCTGAGAAGCGTACTTGGAAGAGGCCTAAGATTGCCTTCTTAGGCGGGCCTGTTGTGCTGAGCTCTGCTCGAAATTGTCTGTTACCTAGCTAGCAGTATTCTCACCATGTCCTGGATTGTTCTGTGCTGAAACAGCTGATGTTTTTGAGAGCTTAGATGGCTTCCGTCTCTCACTTTAGTCTCCCAGGGGTATCCTGGAGAATTGCAAAGAGAGTTTATTTCCCTGTGATACTAATGACTCAGTGGGACCTCCCAGTTCCCTTTGTGATGACCCAGAATACTTGGAAATCTCAGACTTCAAAGAAATGACAGGAGGTATTTTGATAGCAAATTCCCCACCTGTTTTTGACTGCCTTTATTGTTTGTTTTTCCAGTTCTTAAGCAGTGATGGTATCTCTTCTTTTCCTTTGCAGGCTGTGATTTCTATCTCTGATATCCCCACTGACATTCCAGTTCACCTAGAGTTGGCCAGTATGACTGACCGGGAGCTTATGAGCAGTATTATGCATCAGGTAACCACAAGAATAGTGTGTGATTGTTGTTTTTGTTTTATTATTTTTGTTTTTAGGCTTTATTGATAGGTTTTGTTTTTATATTACAAACATTTCCAGGTTACTCCCATTTCCAAGACGTCTCAGAGCAAAGCAGAATTGTTAAGTGAAACTAATAAGTAGTGACCTCATCTGATAGCGCATGTAGCGTTTCATAAGTGTAGCACCCCCCACCTCTGTTTTCTTTTGAATTAACAGACATTTATTTTCTCTATGTCCCATTGGGAAAAGAAAAAACAAATTTCTTGTAACAAATAACATGTAATCAAGCAAAACAAATTCTTTCATTGGCTATATACAAAAATAGACATTTCGTTCTGCTCCCCAGAGCCCTCACCTCTCTGTCGTGGATGGCAGATTTCATCATTGGTCCTCTGGAATCAGGGTTGTTGCTTGTATTAGCCATAGTTCTTGTAGCTTTCAAAGTTATTTGTCTTTATAGTGTTGTTATCGTATAAATTATTCTCCTGGTTCTGTTCATTTCATTCTTTACCAGTTCATGAAAGTCCTCAAAAGTTCTAATTTTTATAGTATTGATATTCTACTACAGGTTGTTCTGGTTCTGCTCACTTTACTCTGCATCGGTTCATACGAGGTCTTTCTATGTCTCTTTGAAATCATCTCTTTCATTTCTGTCAGCACAATAGTACTCTGTGACATTCGTAGACCACAGCTTTTTTAACCATTCCTTAAATGATGGACTTACCATTAGTTTCTAGTTTGTTGTTGTTGTCGTTGTTGTTTTTACCACCACAAAAAAGCTGCTTGCAAAGAGGAAAAGGTCCTTTGTTTTTTTTTTTTAATCCTTTGTTCTTTCCTTATCTAGAACACTATGTTGTTTCACCCAAGTTTAGCTTCAAACCCTAGTGAAGGGTTGTGATTATTCTGAAACATCAGAAGGAAGATGATTTAACAGTTTGGATAAGTAGTTTCTTTACTGGAAAAGTAATTACTTTTTTGCAATAAGCCCACTGGATGGCACAGCACGCAGAGCACCCAGCCTGTGCTCAGGAAGACCTGAGTTCAAATGTAGCCTCCGACGTTTACTAGCTGTCACTTAACTAGCAAGTCACTTAACCTCTGTTTGCCCCATCTGTAAAATGGGGATCATAATAGCACCTACCTCCCAGGGTTGTTGTGAGGATCAGGTAGAATAATAGTTGTACAGAGCTTAGGATAATGCCTGCCACATCGTAAGCACTACATAAATGGTAGCTATTATTACTATTGTTGTTATATATTTTTAATTGTTTATTTTGTGTTTATAATCTCTCCCTTCTACTCCCCCACCCCCAAGTTAACTAGAAACAAAAGAAAAATAAAACTACCCTTATGAATATTCAGTGTAGCAAAACAAATTCTACATTGGCCGTGCCCAGGCATGTGTGCGCCTCTGCATTTGAAATTCACCACCTCTCTAGCAGGCTCTGAGTGTTGAGTTTTACCTTCAGTTTTCTGGATTTATCATGTCATTGATCAAAGTTCATAGAATAATTTCTACAGGAGTATTTTCTGTTGAAGAGTTCTATGTGTCTATGCTGGTCAGTACCTGTTTTTAGTTTTAGGGAAGGAGTTTACTTTCAACTCCAGACTTTTCCTTTACCACCATGAAAGAGCGTGTTTTAAATGAAATCTTTCCCTTTTTCCCTTCTCCCCCTACCTCCTCTCTGCCTCTGCAAAGACTCCCTACCTTTGATGACTTTAATGTCAGTTTAGGAAACATACAGGCAATGAATGATATAGCTAAATATCTTACAGTTGCTTAGTGGCACTGAGAGTTGAATTCACTTGCCCAGGGTCAAGTACGGGTCAAGAAGTGGTACTTGAGGCTAATTCTTTCTGCCTCTGAAGCCAGCTCTCTAACCATTTCCCCTTGCAACCTCTTGCCCTGCGTACAGTAGGTGCACAGTAAGTAAGATGTTGACCTCACATCTATCAAATTGGCTAACATGACAGAAAAGGAAAATGACAACAGGCTGGGAAAGAGGTGGAAATACTGGGGCACTCATGCACTGTTCCCCACCCATACTCTAGACAGGTGGATTTGTGAATGGAGTTTTCCATTCTGGAAAACAATTTGGAACTATACCCAAAGGGCTATAGAGCTGTACATACCCTCTTTTAAAAAATTAATTTATTTTTAGTTTTCAACATTCATTTCCATAAGCTTTTGAGTTTTAAATTTTCTCTGCCTCCCTCCCCCTCCTCCCCCCTGCCCAAGACAGCATGCAATCTGATAGAGGCCCTGCATACCCTTTTACCAGTAATACCACGCCATGGTCTGTTACCCCAAAGATAGCAAAGGAAAAGGACCCATATGTACAGAAATATTTATAGCAACTGTTTTTGTGGTGGCAAAGAATTGGAAATTGAGGGGTTGCCCATCCATTGGGGAATGGCTGAACAAGTTGTGACTTGTGACTGTGATGGAGTACTGTTGTGCTATAAGAAGGTTGAGGAGGGTGGTTTCAGAAAAACCTGGGAAGGCTTAATATTAACTGATTCAAAGTGAAGTGAGCCGAACTAGGAGAACGTAGTACACAGTAACAGCAATATTGTACAATGATCAATTGTGAATGACGTAGCTACTCTGATCAGTACAATGATCTGAGACAATTCTAAAGGACTTAGGATGAAAAATGCTGTCCACCTCCAGGGAGCTGATGGACTCGCGGTGCAGATTGAAACATATTTTTCCCTACTTTGTTTCTTGCAACATGGCTAATAAGTTTTGTATAACTTCACATGTGTAGTGGGTGTCATATTGCTTGCCTTCTCAGTGACTGGGGAAGGGGCTCGAAGAAGGAGAATTTGGAACTCAAAATTTAAAAATAAATGTGAAATAGAAAAGAACTACAAATGCCTGAAAGTTTGGCATAAATGGATATCCTAGTGTAGCCAGCAATTCCTGTCCTTTTCCTTAAAAAGCAAAACACAAAAAATCACCCACCATATTAAATTCACATGCAGTGCGTGTGTGTATACACACACACACACACACACACTCTCTCTTCCTCCCTCTCTCTCTCTCTCTCCCTCTCTCCCTCTCTCTCTCTCTCTCTCTCTCTCTCTCTCTCTCTTTCTCTCTCTCTCTCTCTCTCTCTTGCTCTGTCGTCATGAATTGCCACAGATACAGTGAGGTCAGAGTTTGAGGGATGTGGCGTAGAGGCCCAACAAGTAATGTCATACTCTCCCTCACATACTCGTCACAGACGTGGAGGCTGCTATGATCTTTGAGAATAACTTGACAAAGAAGGAGAATAAGGGAGTGCTCCTCCTGTGATTCCATTATTGGTAGGGCCTCGAGGGGCCCTTCGTGCTGAACTTTTTCTCTCAAGAAGAAAACTATCGCTCTGTTTTGTTAGCAGGTTTTCCCTCTGGTGAATTCCCTTGGATTGAATGAGCAGGAGCTGCTCTTCCTCAGCCAGTCAGCTTCTGGTCCTCACTCCTCTCTCCCTGCATGGAGTGGCATCCCTGACGTGGGTGTCGTCAGTGACATTCTCTTCTGGATCCTGAAGGAGCATGGCAGGAGTAAAGAGAGAGCGTCGAATCTCACACGGATCCATTTCCATACTCTAGCCTACCACATTCTGGCAACTGTGGACGGACACTGGGGTAACCAGCTCGCTTCTGTGGCTGCGGGCGCCCGTGTGGCAGGGACACAGGCCTGTGCGTCAGAAACGATCGATACCAGCCGCGTGTCCCTCAAGGCTCCCCAAGAGTTTCTGACTTCACGTTCAGAGGCAGGCTCCAGGATATCTGTAAATCCAAATGAGCCAGTGGTTCAGTGGCACAGAGAGGGAATCTCTTTTCATTTCACCCCTGTCCTAGTTTGTAAGGATCCCATCCGAACTGTGGGCCTCGGGGATGCCATTTCAGCAGAAGGACTGTTCTATTCAGAAGTATACCCTCATTGATGTGAACAGGGCTAGGGTTGATGCCTCTGAGGAAGTGTAGATGGCTTGAGAATTTCAGGATATCAATAGATGGTTTAAGAAATAGAATTTAGCGGGCCAGCTAGGTAGCAAAGTGGATAGAGCTCTGGCCTTGGAGTCAGGAGGACCTGAGTTCAAATCTGGCCTCAGACACTTCACTTACCAGCTGTGTGACCCTGGGCAAGTCACTTAACCCCAATTGCCTCACGAAAAAGCAAAAAAAAAAAAAAAGGAAAAGGAAAGAAGTAGAATTTAGGGTGTTAGAGCAAGTTCTAGATCTAATTGGAGGATAGCCAAAGAAATAACTGTACCAACACATTCCAGCCGTTTGGCAATGACACAGGAAGCATTTCAGATTTTAATCAAGAGATTTTAGCTCTTTGCTGGCAAGACTGGAGCGTGCGTATGTGCATGTGTGTGTGTGTGTGTATGTGTGTGTGTGTTGTCTGTTACAGGGAAGAAATCCCCATTCTCTACAGAAGGTCACCAATTGCTCATTTAATCCAACTCCTTAGCATAATTTGAAAGCATTGACAGCTGGAAGGAGAATTTCCCTCCTCTGCTAGTCCTGAAGAGCACACCGGTCAGCCTTTGGTCCTGCCTCGTCGTGGATTAAGCCCAGTCAGAGGCTTTCCAATCCTCTCTCAGTAGTGCATCGCTCAGTGGCTGACAAAAAACTTCCATTCATTATTACGATCAAAACATTCAACAAGGAAAAACTTCTTAACCTCCTGCTCCAGCATAAATAGGAAGAAAGTGGGAAGCCTGCTGTGTTGAAACGCAGGCAGGCTGGATACACACTCCCCGGCTCTTGAAGCTTTGGTGTGCTGACTGTGTTGTCCTGGGGGGAAGGGAACATGCCCTCCTTCCCTCTCTTGTCTGATAACTACAGGAGCTGCCTCTGTGCATGTAGGGGGGGCTTGGTGAGATCAAAGTGTTTGTAGGTTTATGCTGGGCCGCATCGTCTAGCTTAAGGCTAAGTTATTGCTATGGAATTTGACCTTTTATTACTCTGATCCTTCTTTGTGCAACTGGAATATGCTTCCCTGTCCATGATATGTTGTTTTTCTCAGTCATGTGACACAAACTTAATTCCGTTAAAAGGTGCAAGTTGACCTCATCAGATGCTGCAAGAAAGAGCACCTAAGTATTACATCATATGTTACATTATGTGTTTATTTTTATAATGTAAGGATACCTTTCTGTGTGCTTTAAACTTTTTTAAACATGATTTACATTTCAGTTCCTTCAAGAACTTTTTACATCTCTATTTTGGGAAACAATAGGAGGTGCCTGTGTATAACAGGGATGCAGATAAAATGTAAATTCACTTCTACCTGGAAATGTGAATTAGGTCAATTCCCCCCTCCTGGGCATGTTACTTTTCCCTCCCAGGCCTTGTGTCAGTATATCCTTCGCAGTGCGTCAGAATTATTTGTAGCCTGGCCTTTCACAAGTCATGGATGTCCTGGGACGTGTCCAGGTGGAGGGGAGCAGCATGAAGAGGAAGCAGGCCAGGCCGGTGACCCTCTGGGCACGCCGTCTCTCTTCGGCCTAACTTTGCTCTTGTTCTTTGCCACAAAAGCAAAGCCAGAAATAAAGCCGCAGGGAGGCATTTGGAGCAGGCCTCAGTACTTGTTTTGTTTGGTTGTTAATTATTTACCAGTGAGCCCCAGGTCCCTAGGATGATTTCTTCCCTTACAGACTCATGGGGTTCTCCTGCCCCCAAATCCTGACTGAATGATTTATTTAGGGGGTGGAGAGTTCAAGGCTGGAAGACTTTCTCCTGGGGGCCTGAGGGATAGTTAAAAGCCCGATGAGTTCTACAACGCACAGTGAAAGGTACTCGTTACCTGTTCTTGTCCTTTTCTTCCTCCTCCACCGTCACACCACTACCTGGCCCAACTTTGGACAATGAAACCCCTAGCCTGCCAGCAGGCCGTTTTCATTAGTATAGGTAGAGTGAGCTCGTTTGTTCCACAACAGTTGGACTAACTCATTTATAGTTTAAAACCTGGAGAGAAGGTCATTACATTCTTCCTGGAGAGTGAAGAGAAGGGGGCATCTAAAATAAACCAACAGATAATCTCTGTTTTCTGCATGCATGTTTTCTTGAGCTTTTCCTGCAAAGTTGTGCTGCTGGGTATGAATAGGCTCTCTTCCCTATCTCACCCTGGGCAGCTTGAAGATTTGGAGCTACCCTCTTTCTAGGCCAAACCTGAAAAGGTGAAACCAGCTCATGTGGGATATGGAGAGCCCTGTTAGGATTAATTCACAGCGTGTGAAAATAGACCTGGGTGGAGAACCCGGCTTCTTTACCTGTAGCCTGTGGAGTGTTGCTCAACCCCCTTTGTGTCATGGGCCTCTTTGGCAGTCTGGTGAAGCCTCTGAACCAACCCCTTCTCAGAATCACCTTCTAAAATTCATAAGATTAACTGGATAGGATTTTAAGTGAAACCAGTTATGATGAAAGTTATCAGAACATTTTTTTAAATTTCCCAGGCCCCAGGTTAAGAGCCGCTGCTACAGAGCCAAGAATATAGGCCAGTTCTCAGTAATCTCAGCTATACAACCATACTTATTCCCCACACCCCCATATTTTCCACTTTGCCAAGTTTGGGTTGGTAAGTGACTCGCACCAGCAGAAGAAATTCAGATGTTGAAACAAGTCATAACTGTATCGTGATACAGGACTCCAGGCTTGCAGTTTACAGTTTTAAATATCCGGCACTTTGCCCTTTGATGCCATCTAGTTGCTCAGTGTTTTTTTGGGTTAAGAAAAAGTTTAGGGAGGGACCCAAAGAAATCCTTATTTGTCTGGCAAACCAAGGGACCGTGGGTGCCAGATGTTCTGCTTATTTAATGTCTCTGACCTAATTAGAAGATAGTTTTCAGGAACAACAGATTAATTACCCTGACGATTTTCAAGACATGTTTGGAACTGTTTAAAATGAGTGAATGACTAAAGCCACTCAGAAGTAGTTCTGTGAGGGGTTGGGGTTTTTATTCCATTTAAAGGATAACCTTTTGGAATAGCCAGTGTGTGTGATCCTGGGTGCTGCTGTGTGGGGCACCATTTGTTTAGGGTTTGCCGTGTTAAAGACACATTATCGATGCTGACCCAGGGCTCCCTTCGCCTACCACACCACAGCCTGAGCCAAGCCAGGAGCACACTGAGTGAAATCAGTGTCTGAAACAAATCTCTGACTTCCACTTTAAGTCTCTAGTGGTTTAGGTAAGAATTGGGAGTTTTGACATTCTACAGCAGGAATTGCCAAAGCAGGCTCTGGAAAACTCTTGTAAACATTTTGCTAAGCCAGGTTGGGGTTTCAGTAGTCTGGCATTTGATTCTCTGGTGGGTGTTAGTACTGCGCACATCAGGACTATCCAGGTTTCTTCACTAAGCTGGCCTGGAACTGCAGCGGCATTTCATTTAGTAAGCATCTGCCAAGTGTCGGAAGTGAATATGAAGATAAGACATGTTTCCTACACTCATGAGCGAGCTCTGTTTTACCTTAAATCTTTAGGGAAGAGTGAGTGAAGGTGGCATCTTGCATTTCAAGAAGGCCTGTATGGATTCTTTACTGCTGCAGATGAAGATGCAGTACTTTTTTGGACAATAAGATGGGCCTATTGCATCACAGAACCTTAGCTACTGAGGCTATCCTCCCACCCCAAAATCAACTAGCAGATAGAGTTTTAAATTCTTTGGTGTCCCTGTATCCGAGCAGAAGAGAAACACGTGAACCACAAAAATTAACAACCCTTATTAAAGAGAAGGGCGTATTGAAGCTGGTGTTGGAAGCTAGGTTTTAAAATCTGAAGCCACTGCCCATATTGAAGTAAAAGCAGTTTTTCTCACAACCCTTTCATTACTTGCCTCTGGTTTTCTGGTGTGAAGCAGTTACAAGGTTGCCGCAGTGTTCATAGTGCATTTTCTGCACCTGTTTTGAACAGCTATATTAAACAGCCAGTTCAGGTTTGGTTTAGATTCATGCATTTGTCAACGTGACAATTCAAAGACGTTGCCACAAAGTAGCATAAGTATAACTAACTACTTATTGAACATCCGTAACTTGGCTCGCCAGCCCCAGTCCTCTCATTGGCTGGTTCTACCCAATGGCAATGGGACGACGGATTCTGAAACAAACAGTAGAACCTTTTCTGGTAGAGCTGATGGAGTCTTACTGTGTAAAATCCAGTATGTGGGAATGTGTTTACTTCAGCAAGGATCTGTGCTCCACCTTCAATGTGGTAAACCAAAGTCATAGGCCAATCCATCACCATGAAGATGGAGGCAACGTTAACTTTTGCTCTGATTCTGATCAAGTCAAATCTTTTCATAAGCAAATTGACATATACCTACCACACCTGTTTAAGCTGCTTCCCCCCATTAAACATGCTGAAAAACCATTTCTTGTGTATGATGTACAAGGGAGTGGTTTATTTGATTAAAGGAGCATTAAGGATGTCCTGGATTTGAAAACAGAGGAAGCCTCTGGCCAGTCAGTGTGACACATTTGGTGAAGGAAGGAAGGCTGGGACCACAGTGGTGAGTTTTTTTAAAATACAGTGTTGCTGTTGCCTTGTTATTGAAGTCATTTTGCCCTCAGTGTTCTTTCTTCATTATAGTTTGAATTTATGGAGTATTCCTGAGGGGGACAAACCCTCACGTGCTCATAACTAAAGTACAGATCTATTTGCAAATGACTGTCCAATTACAGTTTTAAAAAATTTTTTAATGAAACTGGACATAATCATATATATATATATATATATTTATTATATATATATATATAAAAACCAATTTCAAAGCTGCTGTTGGACCTGAGAATGGCACTAAATAGTTGGCAGGAGATGCCCTTTAGTTCTTTGGAAAGGATTTTTTGTGCTGTGGGCCTCTTGAAGTGACCCCCTCACCAAGAGAAAAAAGAAAACTGTTTCTAATACTCCCTCCATTGGGACTGGAGGGAACCAGGGGAGTTCCTAGGTCATTTCAGTAGGCAAGTGTTCTTTGGAGATCAGCTTATCTCATAACTTGATGACACTGTTCTTTCTAGCTGCTCTTGAGCTTGGTATCGACATTTAAGATAAAACGTATAAATAAGGTTCACTTTACAAGTCAAAACTCTGAATTTCCCAAACACGAAAGGAAGAACAAGAACTTTGCACGTCACTTTCAAATATTTTACTAATATACTTCTAGCCAGATGAGCAAGGAGGAGGGCGCTAGCCATCTTTAAATGGCTGTATAAAGGAAAATGACATCAGAGAGGAGTGACAATACATAATCTTTATTCTATAAAGAATATACAAATAGGTGATAGTCAGTGATTGCCTTAAATAAAAACTGAGACTGAGCAGCTCTTCCTTTTCACTCAGCAAGAGCTGCTGCTGCTGATTCAGTAGCCAGGGATGACGTGATCTAAGCTCTCGATTCTTTGACTGTTTAAGAAGCTGACCTGAGCTCAGAGCCATGTTCCAGATTCCCCTGGGGCAGGTGAGGCTGGGACACTTGCTAAGCTGGGCCTGGAGGGCAGCTGTTCTAACAGTTGGTCAGAAATCAAGTGGTTGCTGCACTGCCCAGCCTCAGAGTCAGAATTTCCATGGAGATACAGGTGAGTCAGGCCACATAGCTAAAGGCTGTCATCACAGGATGCCAATCTGCTGTGATTGTACCCATCCTGCTCTGTACCAAAAAAAAAACCCCACCCAAACAGAATTTTAAAAGAGTACCAATGCTACAAACAATACCTATCCACTTGCTAGCTCTTAGCATATCAGCTGGGTTATGAGACCTCACAGACTTCTCTCCCCCACTGCCTTTATTCTGAGCTCAGCAGGATGGACATAACCTGACTACCTTAGAGGGGCATTTGGCTCGAGAATTATGCTGGGTCTAGGGTTTAAGAGAGGAGGGGAGGCTGAGAGACATGACACTCAGGGGCTGTACTCATACTTGGGCCTCTGCCTATAAAAAGCCATTGCATGCCTACCATTACCTTTCCAAATCCTCCGCTTTCTTTCTAAGGAGACATCTTTATTCTGGGGCCAGACTGCTTTTCTGTGTCTCTCTTTGTTCTTGGACCTCAGAGCTTATCGCTTCAGCTGGATCTGCCTCTGGCTCCAGAGGGAGGGAGGGAGGCTTTGAAAACTGAGATGCTCCTCCTGCACCTAGTTAATTGAGGAAAATAGTTCCAGTTCTCAGTCTCCCAACTCCAGGGGCCTGTTAATCCTGAACGATTGGTAGGAGAAAATGAAGCCTATTGACAGATTACAGATAAGAGTCCCAAGGATTTTTTAGGAGAAAATACTCTGGTTCAGTGCTATAAGAAAAGGCTTTAATTGTAGACACATCAGCTGAAAAGCTCCTTGGCCTTTGGATGGAGTTAGGTTGTGAGAGAGAGCTTTAGATAAGCCATTTTCCCAAAGTATTTCCCACAGATCCAAGTTGCCAGTTACCCAACAATGACTGAAGACCTATACCTGGGCTTCACGATTTGCCTAAAGAATCAAATATCAATTTGTTGGCTTCACAGGTTTCTTCTGAAGAGCTCTGGTTTAAAAAGTCTACAAAAAAGTGAAATCCCCAGTATCATGCAAAGCTCCTCACCTGCAGGAAGCTGGGTGGTTTTCCCAAACCCAGCTGCCGAAGACATGGCTTGCCCTAGAGCTTGGTTGGAACCCAAGGGCTGTTGTAAATTGGATGATTTGTTGGCTGAAGTTGTTCGATGCCTTGATTTGAGATCTTTAACTGGTTTAGTCCAGACCAGTGCTTCTCCAACTTGAAGAGCTGCACCCATTTTCTGAGCCATCTCCACCATCTTGTCCATCCAAGGGAAAAAAAAACCAATCTCAAAACAAACAAACAAACAAACCCGTAATCTCAAGAAAGACTCACCCTGACATTCTTACCTTACCAGGCCCGAAAGGACTCTAAATTTAAACTAGATTTCTGCAAGAGAAGGACTACTACGAGATAATGGCACTTGAGGGCTAGAAATGCCTTGTGAAGAGATTTATTACTTACACCTCATGAAAGAAAATCTTTGACCACCATAGCAAAACCAAGGACCTCAAAAGCTAGGTTAGACTCCTGTTTCTTAGTGATATCAGGGCAGAAGGCTAGAAAGAACAAATAAGCCCAACTAGTGTAAAATGGTACATAATAATTGCTTAAGACAAGCATAGAAGAACTAGTCATTTGAGTTAAGGAAGGAAAGATCAGGGAAGGCTCCGCAAGAGATACTGCTTGACTTGGCTTTTTTTTTTTGGCCTAGGCAATGGGGTTAAGTGACTTGCCTAGGGTCACACAGCTAGTAAGTGTTATGTGTCTGAGGCTGGATTTGAACTCAGGTCCTCCTGACTCCAGGGCTGGTGCTCTATCCACTGCGCCACCTAGCTGCCCCTTGACTTGGCTTTTAAAGGATGTTAAGATTTCAAGGGAGAGGCATATATGAAAAATGTCATTCCAGTTTGCTGTAGCATAGGACATGCAGAGGAGTATCAGGACCAGAGCCAGGCTGAGGAATTTGAACTAGACATCCACGGAAGGGTCTGGAACATAGAAGTGACCCAGTAAGTTCTCTTAAGTCAGGAAGCCTTATACAGCAGTGATGGGGAAGGATGAAGAGGGCAGGTAGCTAGCTGGGTTGGGAGGAAGGGGGAAGATTAATTCCAAAGCTAAGAAGACAGGTGAAACGGGAATACACCAGGGGTGATGGCAGTGGACAAACAGAGTAGGGCAGGTTCGTGAGGTTTTAAAGGAGACACAAACTTTTTAGGGAGGTTAAAGAGAAAGAAAAAGTAGAGACAACCAAGAATTTGAAAATGGGGGGTGGAAGGCATGACAGTGCCACTAATAGCTGGGCAAGAGGTTTTGGACATGTTCAATTTGAAGTGCAACTGGAATGTGTGAGTAGGTAAATTGTAGGCAGTAGGTAAATGGATGTTTGGAGCTCCAAGAGAAGACAGCATGACACATTGTTTGAGTGGTAATCTGCAGAGAGGGAACAGCTAACATCACGGAAGGGAAAGAAACTGCCATAGAACAAAATGTGGAGAAAGAAAAGAGACCCGTGGGGAGGCCTTTAGGGAACATCAACATTAACAGAATCAGGAGGGGACAAAATGATGGGCTAAAAAAGGAAAGAACCCAGAAAAGCCAAAGGAAGAGAGTGTCTCCAGATGGAGGGTGAGACCATAGCAAACTACCAAGTAGCCAAGGATGAGGGCTAAGGAAAAGGGGTTTCACCAACAAAAGGGCTGCTGGTGACCCTTGACCAAGCAGTGCTAGTAGTGGGGACACAAACCAGATTGCAAGGGGCTGAATGAGTAAGTGGTGAGGAAAGAGAAGGCTGCAAGTTTAGACTACTTAAAGAAGTTTGTTGAAGAGAAGTGGTCATGATGACAGCTGTATGGGCCAAGAGTTAAAGGTGAATTTCGTAAGCACGAGAGACCCGAGAACGTTTATAGGTAAATAGAATGGAAGATGTTGAAGCTACGTGTGAGAAGTGTACTGTTCAAGCAAGGTTCTAGAGGGAGGGAGCACAGAGTCACAAGGAGACTTAGCCTTGGCAGCAGGTGGTCTAGTGGATAGAGCATTGGGCTCTCAGTTCAAATCAGGCTTCAGGTACTTCCTAGCTGAGTGACCCTGGGCATGTCTGTCTACCTTAGTTTCCTGATCTGTAAAAGAGGGGATCATAATAACACCTACTTCCCACGTTGTTATGAGGATCAAATGAGATATTTATAAAGTGCTTAGCACATGCCAGGTACGTAATAGGCACTTAATGCTTATTCCTTTCCCTTGGGAGAAACTGAGGACACCTACCTATTCTGAGACAGGAAGGAAGAAGCAAAGAATGGGTGAGGAAGATGAGTTCTGAGTTTCTACTAGAAAAAGCCCTTTGAGGCAGAGAACTCCAGGACATCAACCAACAAGCATTTATTTCACATCTACTATGTGCCAGGCACTGGGGATACAAAGTAAAAAAGCTAAAGCACCCCCATCTTTAAGAAGCTCGCATTCTAATGGGGATGCGACAAGCTCCTAGGTCCCTGGGAAACACACAGGGCACTGCGGGGCTTCCGTGAAAGACTCCCCCGGGAGGAGGCACTCGGGAAGGAAGAGAGGGGGAACGAGCGGCCTGTGAGCACTGACTGCCACAGGGACAGTCTGGCTGCACAGTACAATGAGTGATGAAGCGGGAAGGCAGGATGGGGCCAGGACCTAAGGAAGCTTGAAGTACCAAACAAAGGAACTTCTACTGTATCCCAAGGATAACAGGGAACCGTTGGTTTTGTAAGTGGGCGTGGGGGTGATAAGGTCAGACCTGCACTGCCTAGAAAATCCGGTTGGCAGCACGGTGAATTACCTGGTCAAACGGGCAGGCCATTAGAAGGCTACTGCCATAGTTTAAGAGCAAAGGGCAAGTACTGGATAAATGCTGTGGCGGTCTATGTGACAGGAATGAAAAACAGTGGATCTGTAGGATGACACTGAGGTTGTGATCCTGAGTGACTAGGGGGAGGGCAGGGGAGTTCTGAAGAGCGATGGGTTCTGGGGGAAAGAAAGTGAGTTCTGATTTAGACTTAGGCATATCTATAACATGAATGAAAATTACGGCCTTCAACTACACTCTCTTCTTTGCAGAAAGGAACTATGGGTAGGGAACACTGGTCTACAGGCAATGTCCAATTTTTTCAATGCATTGATTAGTTTTGCTAATTTTTTTCTTTCTTTTGAACAGGAGATGAGAGAAAGTGGTGAGATGCATTGGGAAATATGGGTAAAGCTATAAAAACAAAAGATAACAATAAAGTTTTGTTTTTTAAAAATTATGTCCTTTACAGTGCCAGCAACTGTAGAACCTCACCATACCCAGACCCTGCAAACAGGACTACTGAGCAAGCCTAGTTCAGGTTAAAGACATACTTGGTCAGACATAGCCTTCTACTCTGCTCTCTTTACGAGGGGCCTGCCTGTTTACTCTGGGGATAATCAGCCATACCTCAGGGTCAAAATCCAAAGAGCTGCTCCCCTTTAGCAGGGTGACTTTCTTCTCCATCTCCTGGTATTGGGCCAGAGCCTTCTTCTTCTCTCCCTGATTGTACAGCAGCACAGCATAATTCAGATTGACTAGAGGGTTAGACCTGGGTTGGCAGACATAAGATAGGTGCACTGGGACCTTGGAACAAAAGACTACTTGAGATCTCTTAGTGTTACACCAGAAAAATTCAGAACTCTGCATGGGGTAGTTTTCCAACAGAAGGAGATCAAAGAACCAGTCATCTGAGTGTCCAGTGGCATCCCCATGCCCCTCCCTGACCCTGTGGGACACTGGGGCCGTCCTTCCCTCCCCCACCTCTTCAGGACTCCTGCTAGGATGCCAAACGGGAAGAAAGGATTTCTCAGAAACCTCCCTGCACCTCTTAGCACTCAGAGCTGGGCTGATTTGGGGCTGCATTGGCCCCCTGTTGCCAGGGCTTGGCCCAAGAACTCCAGGGGTCAGGGCCACTGCTAGCTCTGATGGTCCAAGGTCTTGTGGCTTCTGTATGGCTAAAGAGGTCCCTAGAAACGTCCCAAGAATGAGTCCTGTTATGAATTTCTGCCAGGCTAAGGACAGGTGGTAAATACAGTTCCTACTTCTGTTCTTCTTGGGGACACATGGTCCTTCACTTGTCCAAGGGGAAAAAGGGGGGAGGTCAAGAGGCAGGCTGGGTGGCTCCACAGACCAGCCCCAGGGAAAAGACTGTCCTCACCACAGACCGAGAGGGGCAGGACACGCAGCAGACCAAAACCCCCAACTCACTGATCAAGGGCGACCGCTTCCGCATAGGCTCGACTGGCATTCTCGCTATCATCCAGATTGGTCAGAGCAACTGCAGCACAGAAAGGAAAGAAGTGGCTGCCACCTCCAGGGAACATCGGGGAAAGTGGGTCTGAACAAGGTCTGCTGACTTCAGCCCGCGTTCCTGGATCCTCCTACTGTGTCTGTCCTGACCACAGCCCTATGCAGGGGTCAGAGGCCAAGAACTCAGCTCAGACACTGCTGGGGCCAACCGCTGGACCATACACACAAGGGGGGGCGGGGGCAACGGAGGCAGGATTTGAACCCGGGTCCTCTGACTCATTCTACCATCCAGTCTTTTTATCCTCACCTTACAGACATGTTAACTAACGTCCTGAGATGTTAAGTGACTTGCTCACAGATGGACGGCTAGTGAGTGCCGATACTGGGCTCATAACCCTAGACTTACCTTAGGGCTTAAAATCATAGAATCTCAGAATTGGAGGAGAATCGAGGTCATCTAGTCCAACCAATACCTGATCAGAAATCCCTTCTATAACATTCCCAATGATGGAGACCTCCTCACCTATTAAGACAGCCCTTCAACTTTCGAATATCTCTAATTTTCATCAAGTTTCTCCTTATATTGAGCAGAAATCTGTACCCATTAGTTCTGGTCTGAACTCAGAACAAAACAAACTTAGCTTAACCCCTTTTCCCCGTTGGCCCTTCAAACACTCTAAAACAGCAATCAAGCCTTCTATTAGAGAGCTAGGCTCCTTGAATGTAGGACTTGGTGACTGAGGCTAGGACTCTGCCCACCCTATGCCTCTGAAAGCTGGAACTAAATGTTGCTGCTCTTAATGGCTGTCCAGAAGCAGAATCTCCTGACTTTGAAAGGCCACTGCGTGAAATGCCCTTCTTCCAGACAAAGGGCCTGCCTAAGCAGACAGCGTTGGCCCCCTCCCAAGTGGCTGTGCTTCCTCCCTCAATCTTCTGACAAGCTCAGCAGTGGGAATGGGGCAGCACCAATGGGGAGAGGATTGGAGCTGTTCCTCCTTGCTGGTCAGTGCTCCCCTGACCCCACCTTGGGGCTGAGGGGGCATCACATACTTGCCAAGAGCATGTAAAGCTCCCCCATCTTGGGCTGGAAGTTGATAGCAGCGCTGAGGAAGTGGAAGGCAGATGCATACTGCTGCATGGTCAGGTGAACAAGCCCCAAGTTGTACAGGATCTTCCAGTCAAACGGTGCCAAGTAATTGGCTCTTTTCAAGCAGCTGATGGCCTGAAGGGAAGAGAAGTATGATGGGAGGGCAAGGAGCTACTGAAGACTCAAAGCACCACAGAAGAGAAAGAAAAGGGAGACACTTACTGCAACATACTTCTTCTTGCCAAAGAAGCACATTCCAATGTTGTTCCATAATGGAGGACTTTCAGGCACAGAATATGCCATGACTCTGTATTTGGTGAGGGCAACATCAAAGTCGCCGTGGGTCTGCATCATGCTGCCTGCTGCTAAGATGGCCTAAAAGTTCACAGGGAATATCTTTTACTGCTGAGGTAGATCATTCCTCCACCCCAGAGCCTAGAGGGAGATGCTGATTCTTCCAGGCTACATCAGCATGAATGGGTGTTTCATGGCCAATTTCCAAACTTCAAGCCTCTTTCTGTTCTCCAAATACCCACAAGGACAAAACTGCTGCATTAAAGACACTGAAACAAATGTTAACGCTTACTCTTCCCACTTCTGGGAGAGAAGGAGGGATTTCCCCATCTCCCTTTCCTCAGAAAAATACTAGCTTTTGTCACCTCTGGTCAATGCATCTTCTCTTGTCCCACTGGAGTACTCTCAGGAGGCCCAGACCCATCAAGGTAAAATCTTTAAGGGGAAGGACTTTGCACGTCCTATGTGTATTTACCCATAGCTGACTTTGTATATGCTTGTTATTTGACTAAAGAAACACCAAGCCATAATGGCAACCAAGAACTCATTTCCCCTCATATACTAAGACATGCCAGTTCTCCATCCCAGACTGTAAAGATTGGGAGCCTAAGTCTTGTAGTGCCATCTGACTCTGGACATCCCACCCATCCATTCTCTTACCTCCTAACTCTCCCCAGCCCCACCCCTCCTCAAGCTCCAGGACCCTGCCAGTGTAAGATTTGCTCTGACTAGCACCAGAAACCGTTATGTATAAAACGCAGTAACATTCTCGTGGTGCTACATCCTTTGATACCTTGTAGTTGGTAGGGTCAAAAGTCAACGCGTTTCCAAGATGTTCAAATGCCTTCTGGTAAATGCCAAGCTTGGGTGGGGGGGAGGGGCGGTAAGGAAAACAAGAGAATGACATCAGAGACAGAGAAAGCTATTTAAGAGCAAGGATGTAGCAACCTAAGTCTTCTGACCTTCTCTAGACAAACATATCTTGCGGTTAACAAGAGATTCCCTATGGATGAAGCCAGGTCTACCCCAAGATGAAAATCAGTAGCTTTCTAGGGTTTTCTAGTTTTTTCCTATGTTGTGTACAGAAGAGGGTATGGATCTGTGATATCATTGGTACAGAGGACTCCCTGGAGAAGAAAAGCTGAAGAAACTGGTATATCATGTAATAGAATATTGTTATGCTGTAAGATATGAAGAAAATTAGGCATTCAGAGGAACCTGAGAAGACTTGATTGCAATGAGACATTGAAAAAAAAGAACCCCCAAAATACATACAATGACCATGATGAAAATCAAGTAAATACTCATATGGTTGGTACCAAAGATCAAAGTTCAAACAGATCCTTTCCATTAAGTGGTCAGAGATGAAAGAGGCGAGGGGGCCTGGCCTATCCTATGGGAGTGCTTCTTTATGTTCAGGGGGTGTCCTTTGTGTTAGGTTTGTTGGGACCTCTATGCTGTGTCAAAATGAAGCATATCAGGTTTAAAAACAAAAAAAAACCACTGTCACCACGTCCCTCTCTCCCACACTGCTGCCTGGCCAGACGCAGCCACTGCAGTGGACCATAGTAAGCATACGCTCCTCCCATCATCAGCTGCCAGAGGCAAGGATCTCAGTGTCCACAGGCCCACCCCCACACCCCCCCAACCCTTTGTTGGACATAGTCTTTGGGAGCCCTCTTCCTTCTTAGTTCAATGAAAGGAAAAAAAAAGATGCAAAGGCCACTAGACTATGTCACTTAGGGTGGGCAGCTGTACTGCACTGAGCCATCTGAACAGGAGCTGAAAGCATGGCCCAGAGCCCCCTCCTCTTCTGAGAGCCACTCTGAACTCCATCCCGAGGAAGAAGGGGGCAGGGGGAAGCAAAAGGGACGACTTGCCTGCCGTTCTAATTTCGGGTACAATTCCTCAACACTTCAGCCCTGCGCCCCTTGCCCTGAGGTCTTCTGATGAAAGGCCCCAGCCCCAGGAGCTCTGGCTTCCTGGCAACAATCACCCCTATCTCGCTAGCTGCACTGTTTCAGTTTCACTAGGCAGTT